GCCAGGGCCGGCGACAAAGCTACAGGGTTGGGTTATGGCTCTAGTGGGGATGGGATGCAAGGTACGTGGGTCCTCTTGTATTGGTATTTGGATTGTAGCGTGAGGATGCACAGGCCATCCATGAGTCAACCTCTACCTGGGTGAAACATTTAGTACAAGCATCATACAAGTAGCCTTATATATGGCTCATAGAAGGTCTTCCTTGTGGTACTACATAGTAAGGGAAGTGGTACTTTGAGGATGTCTGATCAGGATGATGTGTTATAGGATTGTGGATAAGGTATACCACCTTTTTCACAGAAACACCAGAAAAATTTGGCCTGCAAACAGCACTAATCACAATGGCCTGTTTTGTTGTATTTTTGCTACCTCTCCATCTTCTTACCCTCACTCTGAGGCCATGGTAATCAAAGCCCACAACTCACTACATTCAGGGGTCTTTCTCAAAAAATCAATCCAAGCTGAAGTCTCAGGTTGCAATTATTAGTACAAGAACGGTCCAGAAATGTCTCTCTGGAAAACGTTTGTTAAGAGTCATGTCTCCTTGATATCTACATTGTAAGATCATAACAATTGCACATAGCTGGTGTTGCCCCTGATTCCTACATATTCTGCAAGAATTTGCAAGCAAAAAAATCTAATAGGATCAGCTTGATTAAAATGATCTCAATGAAAGAAATTATATTCATTTATTTTGAGCTTGTGGCAACATGATCTAAGCCTGAGCCAAAAACAAATTGTTGTGGGTTTGAGGTCCTAGCAAAAAGGCAGCGCCCAACGTGGGGCTCGAACCCACGACAATTCGATGGACTGAAGTACCCTTGTAAGAGTCGAATGCTCTACCAACTGACACCGCGGGAAATGTACTGTCGCATCATGTGATACGACAGTCTGACGTGTAACAACGTGTGAAACATACAGTCCCAGCGACACATAGCTTCTGTACAGCGACAACTGCTTGAGGATTGCGACAGCAGGCGCACTAAACCAGCGGTGCTGCGACTCTTCCAATCAATTCATCATTCATCCAAGGTCATCCAAGGCCGATCCTTTTATTTTCAACTTTTACATAAATTCAACCAAACATACCGTAACTCACGCTACTCACCCTCGATGCTCATCCCACCCGATCCTTTTGGAACCGCCTTGGTCATTAATTTACAACCGGTCACGCACAAATACTTGTCCAAAACAGTACTAAGGCCAAGATCAAATGACGCACCTCCACTTCCCACTCCCAAACGACTCGAACGAGGTCTCGAACGAGCTAGAATCATGACGCGTGGCAGATACAACCGCCTCAAAGGACTTGGCAGAACCCTGAAATCCTTCAATGAGTGGGTATTTTCGTGAGATACTGATCCCTGCTGATCAATTCAAAGGACTTGAAAGGACTGAAGCTCTAGAATGTTCTAGCCTCGAAAGTTCGATCACGATCTTCTCATTTCACTTCGTCGTACATTTTTCTCGAAACTTGAAATTAAAATCCTTGCTATCATCTATCTAAACCGTAACTGATCCTCAATACCTGTATCTCAATGGTCGCGAAGAAGACCTATGATTCGCAGGATGAAGGATCTGGCCAGCTGACACTTGTAACGACTGAGTCCGCAAAATAGGTGGAGCCAGCTAAGAAAGATGCTAACGAGTGCAACGACTAGTGTTCATAATTATTTATCAGCTGGGTGATACCATTCCATTGCTAAAGAAACAGAAATCTTACCTGTGAGTGATGCGTCATGACCATCTACATGCAATTGCTCGAACTCTGAAATGAGATCGTCGTCCGAATCGGCAACCGCTTCCACAGATGGCTTGCCGTGTGATGTAGTAGTTGCAAGGGAAGGATCAGATGCAGGGCGGTTTAAGTCGGCGCGATGATGCTGCAGCTGGACTGCTCGTGATACATATTGGCCACGAAGGACCGTTCCATCCTTGTCGTGACACGTCTGGGTGATGCACTTCGAGCATGTACATATATGCATTGCCTGAGGCATTGACTTGGTGATTGTTCAGAAGGTGTGGTGGGTCGTAGGAAAGTGGTGAATGATATCGAGAAGTTGATAAGGGGGGAGCTGTCGCAGGGTAGTGTACAATTATGTACAGCTGTCGCAGTATATGAGGCAGCTGTCGCAGCGTGAAAGCCTTCTGTCACCTGTACTGTTGTATACCCGGGTTGGCCGGCGACCAACTGTCGGACCGCGGATTGCGACAGTACATTTCCCGCGGTGTGAGCTAGCCGGGCTGGTGCAAAATTTGGGTATTTACCGTGGGAGTAGCTTAATAGTTTGTGTCATAGGCATTTACACAAGGGACAATGTGTGGAGCAACTCCATGAAGGTGTGCACTTGAAGACGGTAGGAGCACAAAAATTAGTAAATAAGACATAGCACCAAGGCCTCTTATTTCCCAAAAGATGAGTGACAGATTCCTTTTGGTAATCAGGTCACACGGCAGATACTAAAGCATCACATATCATAGAAGCTATGAGGCGCCATTGAGGCTCCTAAAAGCAAGGATATATAATCCCTAGGGAGCAGCTGGTGATTCACCTTTCTCCCACAACTGCTTTCCGTAATTTTCTACTTTTCCTACAACCATTCAAGTAAAACTAAGCACAACTGAAATTTTCCATGACCTAACAATTTCATAAAGATCCTTTTTGTGTAACTCGGTGGACTATTAGAGTTAACAAAACATTTAGCAATTTTTAGAATTTTTTGGTCCAGCCCGCCCGCCCTACATTTGGAGCAGGAGCCCACAAGTCTCCTGATGGGAGACTCTGGCTCTCCTCTGCTCTTGTTGTTATAAGAGGTCCCATTTCATCTACGTTCAGTAGAAGGGTAACAAAACCCTTCTTAGAAAACATGAAGAATGGGCACCTTTTAAAAACTGGTCCTCTCAAACCATCTGGAATTTGAGGGGGCTTCTAGCCCACAACAGAGTCTTCTCTTGCTCAGTAACAAACTGGGGAAGACAAGATTCATATCTCTTGAGATAAGACAAGACACAAGAAAATGGACAATAAACTTATAACTTCATATGTACACTCACTTGACTAAGTCCCCTTTGAGACCTACCAAAACAAAAAGGTGCATAGGCCCCAAGGGGACTCACATGGAATCTTGTGTTTCTTGGTGAGTAATTCAATGGCCTTTGGTTGTTTACTCCTTATAATGTTTTCCCTGATTATAAATTTTCAACTACTTTGACTATGTTATGGGCCTGCTTCTTACACATTGTAATCTACCTTTAAGAAGAACTACTTGCAATCAAAATGAAAAGTGTTATAAGAGCCCAAAACACGCTCTCAAGAAATTCGAATTGATTGACTGTGGCCATTCACTGTGAACATCATTCAAATTCCTCAAGTTGGAAGAGGAAAATGATTAATAGTACAGTTTGTCATAAAAGGATCCAATACACACCTGAGCCATAACACCCACACTACATATGTGGAGCAAGCTAAGTAAATAGTCTTCTATCATGTACATACAGGTCTGCTCAGGTTTTTGCACATCAGAATATAAAATTCACATGTTATACCACATGTACTTTTTTTGACTTTGAACAAAATGTCCCAAAAATTGACTACATACAATTCTGTAGCTGCTCAGGCAATATTGTTGAAGCTATTTCTTAGTAACAGAAAGGGTGTTACATGCAGTTGAGTTGATGAGATTACGCCAAAATGTTGAGTCATTGTATGTAGTCAATCTTTTGAATGCTTTTGTCAATCTGAAAAAAGTTACAGCATGTATTACATATGCATAACTTGTGCTGATGAGCAGATAACTGAGCAGAACTGTATGTACATTATAACCAACTATTCACTGAGCCTGCTACACATATGTAGTGTGGGTGTTATGGCTCAGGTGTGGTGTCATAGATCATTTTATCACAAATCATACTCCCAATCATTTTTTCCTGCCCACTTGGGGAAGTTGAATAATGTTTGCAGTGCATTAGTAGGTTGGAATAAACTCATGACACAAGTCACGTAACATTTCATTTATTACAAGTTAACAATCTCATGTTCATTGTATATGTTTAAGATATTACTCAAAACCTTTTGTACCAAACTATAACCTAACCATGACATGTATTGCACTCATTATTTCATACCTTTGTTGTTTTGAAAACTTTCTTCTTCTTTCCTCATGAGTTTAGAAAGTTTTCTTCTAACAACATCTTATCATAAAACATCCTCTCTGGTCTTCCAGATCTCCTTTCCTGTTTACTGATAAGTCTGTTGTTGGATCTGATCAGGTATGATACAAATGTGCTACTCATGTCTTTCTTGTTTTGTTTTGTGTATGATATAAAGAAATACATTATCAGTTTAGAAAGTTCTCTTCTCACAACATCTTATCATAAAACATCCTCTCCGGTCTTCCAGATCTCCTTTCCTGTTTACTGATAAGTCTGTTGTTGGATCCGATCAGGATTCAAAGATTCCTTTATAGTACAGGTGCTATGTAAGTGGGCCTACCGCTTTTTGAACTGGGCCTACAATTTTTTGGATGAAGTGCTGGCTCAGCCAACACCCCAACCGCTCTGCTTAAGAAAGCGTGTTCGGAGCAATTTTGGGGTCCGCTCAGCACTCCACTATAATGAGCAGAGCGTGCGCAGCACACCCTGGGGTTGGAAATCCCTGAGCGGAGCGAACTACCACACTCAGGGCCCCGGGCTGGGCTGCTCCGCTCATCAGTGGAGCAAAACCCTGTACCCAGGGGTACAGGGTTTGGCAGTAGTCTTTTGCGACTCCTCCCAATCTATTGATATAAGCCATTGCCTTCAGCTATCACCTGTACAATCTTCCAGCTAGATTGTTTGGTGATAATGCTTTATTGGCTTTACATGGTCTACATGATCTCAATATTGTTTACAGAGATTTAAAACCTGAAAATACCCTTTTGGGTCCAGACATAAGGTTTTTCTTGAATTGAAAATTGCCTTCTTCTCTGAATTCTTTGAACTAATCTTGCCTTTTTTATTGAATGTTTTGTAGGGTACCAGATTGAACATGGACTTTATGTGGTACACCAGAATACTCAGCACCTGAAATCATCCAATCCAAAGGACCTGGAAAATTAGCAGATTGGTGGGCATTTGGAGTGGTATTACATGAAATGTTATCAGGCTTTCCACCCTTGTTTTTTGATGGATCAGTACTGTTTCCAATTCATGAAAAGATTCTAAGTGGTGAATTAGGATTTCTGAATCATATCAATCCATTAGCACAAGATTTGACTAGTTGACTTTCAACAACTGATCAAGCTAAACAATCAGGAAATTCAAAAGGTGGTGCATTTGATGTGAGACCATCCTTGGTTTGCTGGAGTGTATTGGGATGCACTTCGTTGTCAATCTATTCAAGTTAGTCCTTTCATCTCATACTTTTGATGATTAGTTCTTTTTCTCTTCTTTTTTTAGTTTTTCAATAGGCTCCGATTTTACCTAGGATTGGAGTTCCAGTAGATTCATTGAAATTTGAAAAATACCCTGAAGTTGGATCAGAAGATAGAGTGTGGCAAAGAAAAAGACTTCAGTTGCTCTGTATACAACTTATTTGGAACTCATATTTTTTTCTCTTTTTTTCAATCCTTTTTTTGTGAAACCGAATTGATTTTAGTGCCATGTGCGCCGCTGTATAGCAATGTGTGGCGCTATATAGCGGCTTTGTGTGTAGCTCAGCCAATGAGCAAGTGCATCGTGGTAAAATCACTACACACCCTGAGTCAATAAAAAAGTTGGTAATGTGTGATTTTGAGTGGTGCAACTTAGAGCGCAGGGCTCTGCTGTGCACCCCAAACAGGTTGAAATCCTGTGCAGGGCGTAGCGATTGCGGTGTTGGCTCAGCTGCCTAGTGGTACAATCTACTTTGTTAATTTTGAAATAATCATCAACTTCAACCTAAACTCAAAGTAATCAGATCTGTTGACAATGGTCCAGTCAAGCAGGAGGAGTCAAAGTACTAATACCAAAGGAACCTCAGGGGTTATCAAAGTAACCTTCAAAGTTCAAACATTGGAAATCCAACACCCAAACACAACTAGAAAATTCCTTGACTCAAGCCCAGACCAGCAAAGTGCAGCTGTCATGCTTCTGTTCAAAGAGAAGTGCAGCCCAAGCAAACCAACAGAAGTCCAAGTTAAGAGTGTGGTAAGCCGGTCACACTGAGAAAATTTGTTTCTTTCAGCGGCTACTGGTTCTGGAAAAAGTCAAGTCCCCAAGATGTGCTTCCACATGTTTCCCAAGGTCAATAAGCCTGTGGTTTTGGTTTTAAATCTGCTAGATGCCCCAAAATTCAATCAGGTACGTGTGTGTGGTTCAAATGTCAAAGTAACAAAGGAAACACAATTTCTGAAGCACATCCTTGCCAGTTTTTTTTGAAAAGAAATCAGGGGGAATCACTGCAATCAATCTGACAAAGACAACCTTAACCAAGTTTGGATTGGGTAGATTGAAGGAGCACTATCACTCATTCATTTATCCGGTCATCCATTTAATTTTCATTGAGGATTATACATTAAATTGATGACATCTCTTTTGAACGACAGAGTCCTGGAATATCCCTAAACAGTAAGGCTTTTCAAAGCCTTTACAATAGCAAAGATTTTGAGAAACATTAAGTCTTGAAGGTGGTTGATGAAGCTCATTACCTCTAACTCTGGGGACTTTAGGCTAGTGGCAAGTCCCAGTACTTTTCTAAGGATGCACTACCAGCATGAAGTAATTTTCCCAAGTAAAAAATGAATACATTTAGAGCAAAAAATGATTGAAAATGCATTTGATCAGCATTAAATCAGCATTAAATAAGCATCATTCAGCATTAAATGAGCATTTTTGATTAAAAATGCAGTAAATGTAATCATTTTTTCCTTGGGAAAATTACCTTTTGCTGGGAGTGATGTCACCCCCAAAGATGTAGACACTTGTGGACACAGACTCAGTACCTTTCCTTCTGATGTTGGCCACCTGTTGTCCCTCTGCAATTGAAAAACAATGACACAGTGTAAAGCTGATTTCAAAACAAATCATTATGAATCAAGGAGAATTGACTGGACCAGAGCATTGATTTATAAAGATTTATTTGACCCAAAAGTTAGATTCTGCAGAAGATGTATCCAGTCCTTTGGCTTTGTCTTCTATTGTGGGTGATGAAGAGCTCACCCCAACATTAACGTGTGTGTAAACTACAAAAAAATACTGATAATAGAGTTCCAACATCTAGGAACAAGATCCATAGTTTTGTGGATTTTTTGCGGTCTTCCTGGTGTCTCAGGGTTTTTCTACATCAATAGTTTTCTTCACCGCAAAAAATCATATTTCTTGTAGTAACACCTTATTTATGGACACAGGCAAGCCACAGGGAAGCAAAGAAGCACTTCTTGATTTGAGTCAAGTGATGATACATAAGCACTGTATTGATAGGGTTTTCAATTTGGGCATTATGGTCAATTGAGATGCTGAGGATAGATGATAGGATTCGATCAAGTAAGCCAATGGCCATGGACCATCAACATTCATTACTACCAATCACTAATCAAGATCAAGACCAGCATCCTCATAATTCTCTGTTTACCATGGCATCCGTCACTTCACTCACTGTCTCAATTCCATCCACTTCAACTTCAACTTCCAACCTCAAGCAACAACAACTACTACTACAACCGAAGTCAAGATGGTTCTCAATTGAATTCTTTATTTATTATCTCTCACTCATCAAGATGGTCTCAACTACCCTCACACTAAGTCAAGGTATGATAAAGTTAACCTTTGTTTGATCTCAATGGCAATTTTACTGATACTATTCTTGTAAATTTTCAGAACAACATCAAAACTATCCGTTCTATAAACATAAACTCTCCCCTGGTTGGATATTCGATCGCAAGATTGTAAGGTGCTCTCCCCCTTTAGTTTAACCCGTTTTCTCCATTTATCTAAAATATAAATACGTCAAATCAACTTGCATAAGTACCGTACAATCCTCTTCTGTTTTGGTCCACCTCCCTTCAGGTTGGCTTTGGTGCTTTTCAAGTTTGATTTGTACTTTTCAAGTTGGGTTTGTGATTGTATGTCTACTTTTCAATCGCCAATTTTATCGTGCTTTTTCATTTGGTATTGTTCTTCTTTCTTTCAATTTCTATTGTTCTTTTTTTTGTTTTTGTAATTTCTTGAAAAGTTAAGCTATTTATTCTTAATTTGCCTTGTTCCGATTCATCATCTTGTGTGAGGCTCCGAGCAACCTGCTATCTTCAATGGTTGCCTGTAAAAAGTCATTTTCAAAGCTGTCTTCTTCTCAGCATTTGAAAGTATCACTTCAAAAGTCGTGTGAAGAAACTTCTATAATGCAACCATCCACCTAACCCAACAAGCCATTATAAAAAACCATCATCTCATAGTAATTTCCTTGCACCATACTCTCACCTTGTGGAAAGGAAATGTACTTTCCCACATTGCCTGACAACCCCGGCTTTAGATTAACACTTTCCAATCTTGATTGCTCTTGATGTTTTGTGATTGTTTGCATTTGATTATACATTTACAAATCCATTTTTGGTGTGACCTGCAATTCTTGGTAGCAAGCTTTGCAAAATCTGACTCCAAATGGTGTGTTTCTGCCTTGGTATACTTTTTTTTACTTTATAAGAAGGTAACATGTCACACTGACTCTCCCAACAAATTTGCCCACCTCAAAACCAATCCTATAGCTCAATATTTCACCTAATTCATCAAGTCACTGTACAGATAATTCCTTTTGTACTCTTTTTTCTGCCCATTTTTTGATAACTACTTGGTAATCTTTCTTCTTCTTGGCCTATTTGTACCTGTCTTGGCTTGCTTGAATCTCACGCTAAGCCTACAACCTCCAACCTTTATATATCTCCTTTGACTGGGCTTGCCTTGTGATAATAGGAATCTTTGTGAACAACATTCCTTTTGCATCCAACTGTTGCGCCAAATGTGGTCTGCAAGCTTATACCACCTGGTTGTCTACAATGACTTCAAAGTGTGCTCTAGGTGACAGTGTCCATCTTTGTCTCTTGAAAGATGTGGACAATCGTGGCCAGAGCTACGTAAGTGGGTGGTACAAAGTGCTTCTTTTTGCAAATGTAAATTTCTGTAGGTAAATTCAGAAACAGTCTAGCTGTGGCGGGCATGCCCGCATGTTCTCTAGTCTTTAGAAAAACTCTTACTCAAAGAAACGTATTCATCAGTTTGAAATTCTCGATTCTTTTAATCACAGGATATCTCCGATTCACAATATCGTCGCTTTCGACCAGGGCTTGGTCAATTGACTGCATTGGCGTTCGGCTATTTACTCATCGCTCGACTCGTTGGCCGTCATTCGCGGAACCGTATCAAATTTCAAACTCGTGCAGCTGCTTTGATCCTCCTTGCACTACATGGTACATCGGTCTTCAAGATTCTCATTATCATCACTGCCAATTATCATCCGGCTCGTCGTGCACCATCACCTTTGATTTGGGTCTTTAATGTCGGGGTATTGTTTGCGAATGATTATTGGGACGGTTATCGGTACCGGCACTTTTTGCCCTTTTTGTCTTTCCTGGTAAGTCACCGACTCTCTTCGATCAAAACTTTTGATAGTCAATCGATAGCTATCATCTCATATGAGTTTCCTTCCTGAATTGTTTGTTGTAGGACCAAGGAAAATATCGCCGATTGATTCCATGATGGCAAATCGGCTTCAATATCTCCATGCTTCGTCTGATCTCTTACAGCTGTGATTACCAATAGCGGCAGCAAAGGCCAAACAAACTGCCAGTACCGACACTTCTACCGCACCCAATACAACAGTAAAGATTTTTTCTTTTTACTGAAGTTGGCATCGGAGTTATAGCTTATGGATTGTCAGGTTAGTCGACACCTCTTCACAATTACAACAGAAGATATCCTTGGGGGCTGATGGTTCTAGGTCGTAGGTATATCTATTTACCGATAGGTGGATCTAACAATGTTGTGCCATCCACTATCTTGGTATTTACTTTTGTGGCACTTTGGCATCAGATTTCGTTGAGATTGTTTCGTTGAGATTGTTATGATGGGGTTGGCTCGTTAGCGTCTTTGTGATTCCTGAAGTATTAGCTAAAAAAGTTTTTTCAGGTTCTATTGTAAGTCTTTGATGTTTTTCTGATCAAGCTTGATGTTTCACACATTTAAAATCAATTTTTTGGATGATGTTTTGATTGCGAATTTTTGAAACCAATAGCACGAGAAGAAATGGTATTTTAGACATTTGTCTGCTATTGGTGGAACATTGAATGTTTTGAGTATGATGTCTGCCAATCTTGTTGGATTTGTTATCGGATTGGATGGGGTTGAAGTTATGTGGTCTCAACCCCTTGGACCTTGGTCTGGTACGATATTAGTTCAAACAAAGGCCTCACACCCAAAGAAGGAAACTAATGGGAAAGTTGTTTTTTTAGGATTTTTGACCCTTTTGACTACTTTTGGTGCATTATTTTGTGCGGTACAAATGATGATGGAGAATAGGTTAGTTTTTTTTGGATATAATCGAGGATTTTTCCAAGTATTGATTTTTTTGCACTGATGGATAGATAGGGAGGAAGAAAGACGAGAAGGGATTTGGAGAAAGTGCCATTGAAAGAGGAATGATTTTGCTGAGAAGTCTGAAAATCAGGTATGTTTGAAAAACAAGTAGAAGTAAAACATATTGAAACACCATTTGCCGTGAAGTTTAGTGTTAGTGACGAAAAAGGTTGGAATCCGATGTTTTTTTGAAAATTTGCCAGAAAAAGGTCGAAATTTATGTCACACACCTCAACAGGCGCTTTCCAGGGTCCTGGAGGAAACCACGATAAGGAGATAGGCAAATGGGGTGCACATTGAAGGAAAATGGAAGTCAATATCGAAGATCATATCGATGTTTCTGCATGAGATACTGTTGATCTCGAAACGCTTGTCCAAGTTTTCCCGCAAAACTCGAGCAAAGTTTTGCGGGAAAACTTGGACAAGCTTTTCGAGAACGACAGTAGTTGGCCACAGAGAAACAAAAACGAAGTCCGTGTCAAATATAAAGTCTGACATCCTCTCTGTGTTACTACACACCGCACGGGCCCGGCCCTCCAGTCGAGTTTTTCCAAATTTCAACCGTGAACAACCGTACATAAAGTGGACAGCTTCACAGCAAGCTGAGCCATGACCCACTTGGCGTGAACTCAGATGCACAGCAATCGAATGTACACTAGTTGAGTTACATTATTTTGATATCCTCTTGCAAGGTGATGCAGAGGATAGTACATGAATGCTAGAAAGGATAGAAAGGAAGAGCATTCTGAGGCATATTTCTCTTCCCCTCCTGGTCTGTCGCGAATATTATACCATGTCACCCTTTTCAACATGCCCAAGTGATGTTATGCTTGATCAGTTGTACTATAACAGCCCCTCATCCAGTCTATTGAAGGATGGGATCACATCGCCTCCACGGGATTTCAATCGGCAAACTTTGCAGTCCAGTGCTCAGAGCGAGGGTGTAAGTGTTCTTTGTTTTGAAAGTTGGTCAAATACTTACGTTGTATCTTCCTTCCCTAGAGAGTCAAAGTGTATACCGCTTCTAGGGAATCAAAGCAACCCAGCCGGATCGGATCAATCCTAACTGTCGTTGGACTCTCTTTGACTGCTATCCTACCTGGCATACTGGGACTGGCTTTTTACCTCTCTTTGACCTTTGGTGCCCCTCATGGTAAATTTCTCTCCAATGGCACCTACATCAGACCAGATGACGAAAGCTTCGCTTTGAACATGCCATTGGTATCATGGTCAATCCACTTTCCACCCCTACTGGTTTGTTCTGTGTCAAGTACACTGATGTCAGTCTAGCGCATTTGCATCACACTCCGGATCCTTTAGAAAAAGCTGATATATTGTTTTTTCCTCTCAATGCACAATCATGTAACTTACGATTTAAAGTGGAATCATAGCTCCATGGGTAATGATGCTCTTTGCATATCATCTAGCAAACCACTGGCTAAAAGTTTCTCGTACCCCTCATGGATTTCAAAAACTTCCCAGTCCATTTCAGTATTTCCTCACAATGGCCTTCATTAATAATTCAACTCCTTTCTCTGTATTACGATTCTTGATATACGCCTTAAAACCTTCACCTTCCAATCGTCAGCGTCTGTCTTTTACCAAGCGTAGAACAAGTCGTGCTAGCCTATCTCCAATCTTACTGTTAGGCTTCGTAGGGCTCTTGATTGTCCTCACCTTCACTTGGTCTATAAAAGTCATAGATGTGATCTTACATGATCAAATCGTTACTGTGGTTCAAAACATTACCGAAAAGGATAATTCCACCTTCAGGGCAAATGCAATGATCGAAAAAGGATGCGAGGACCCGATCTTTAACACTTGCGGTGTCCTGAATCGTACTCTCCGAGCTAGTCAAGGTGGAGCCAATACCAGCTCCGAATTGCAGGTCTATCAAGCTACGCCTTTGTCCGAGAGTAGAATGTCTTTCATGGGCCCGGCACTGCCTGATTCTACAATCAGCTTCAACTCATCGCATACATATGCTGCTGGTACGGTCTGTGAAGCATTCCATCCATTTTGCAAAGTTCATGATATGGCAATTCAAAATTGTACTCCGGGCACCCCTCCTCCACATGGAATCGGCCGATGGAACATGCTTCTTTATGGTAATGGTTTCAATACAACGATTTGGAAACAACGACTTCAAGTCTTCATCACCGAACACGGGAACGTATCGGGTGCAAATAAAAAGCCGCTCACTAATGGTGCCAATATCAATCCATTCACGATTGCTACATTTGGATGCTTTCACAACTATGCAAACATCACATGGGATGATAACAATCAAAGCTATCCTACACCATTCTTCAATTGGTGGTCATTAGGTCAAGGTATTAAAAACAAACCTTACATGATGTGCACAATCTTGATCTGCAATACCACCGTATACGATGCTCAATACAATCTAACTGGAGGAAAACTTGTATTGATTGACAACAGTCTCACGTTAGCAAATGCATCAGCTACCTTGGCCATATCGGGTTCAGTTGCTTATCTAGGGACTGCTGACACAGACTATTATCAATATGCTCCGCGCTTCTTAGATGATCAGTTACAAGTTGATTTGACTGCAGCGGGAAACCAATATGGAGAGGACAGGTAATGTACATTCCATCTAAACTTCCCTCAGAGTTTTCAGAGTTCATGTTGATGGTATGATAACTATATAGTCAACTTTTTGCATCTGCATGGGCTCAAGCTTTGTCAAATCGGATGATAGGATGGAGTGTAGGAGCTATCGAATTACAACCGATCATAGTCAACAAGACTCAATCACATTTAGCGACTTCTATTCCTCTTTCAACGGCTTATCTTTTCCTTGGGCTCCATATCTTATTCTCGATATTCATCCTTTCACTTGGTATATCTGCTTTGTTTCTTCCAGGAATACTTAGACGAGATCCAAGAATTACAACTCAGCATGATAACATGCCAGAAGATCCTTCCCAAGAAGATCTCCAATTGAATGGCGTAACTTTAAGTTTTGCACGAGATAAAATAAGTACCCCTGCTTCATTGATTCATGAGTTGATGAATACTAGACGATCACAAGAATTGGCTTCTTCATCTTCAGCACTTCCTTCTATTTCTACACCTACTCTTCATCGAACTCAGACATTGTTAACATCAAATGATAGGAGACAATCGAAAAGATTATCAGAGTTTTCCGAAGCTGAACAATTGAAAGTAATCTTATCATCTGACACTGAAAATGGACTTGGATTGCATTTCGTTCAATAGTTCTTCATTGGCCTCCCAAAAGTACGTCAAGATTGTCTTCTAAGAGAAACTAAGTGATTTTGACTCTGTAGCTCTTTTCTTCGCTTCCTCTAGGTTTTTCACTTAATTAATTTTTTTTCCAGGCGGTCGAACTCTAGTAAACCCTTCAAGTTACATTACAAAATAATTTAATCAGTTCTCGCCTGAATTTCAGTTTAATTTTTGCCAAAATTGTCAAATGGTCCTGAGTGAACTCTTGTTTACACCTATACTTTTCTCTATACTTTTCTTGGTATTTTGTTAGAATGCGCTTCTGGCTTCCTATATTTTGCTTGCAATCATAAAGCATTTGTCGCCCCAAATCAGTATCTGTATGGGTTACTGGTTAGTACATGGTGTTCCTTTCAATGCCTCAAATGACCATACATCCTGCCCATGTGAAACCTTTGATCTATAGGTCAAATCACTAGACCTTGCGGGCTTTAACGTATCTTTACTTATACTTTACCGCTTCACTTACATCATTCGTATCGTGACCTTATATTAACATTGTCCAGATACAACATACCAAGAATAAGATATACAGGTGGACAAACAGGACAGCATCAAACACTATGAAAACTACATCTGAATCAAATTAAACTTAACAAATGGCATCAGTCAAGTCTGACAACATCATTCTTGCCAATATTGGTAGACCAAATCAAAGTCAGGCAAGTCGCTTCCTATGTTGCAAGTTCGTGAGCAAGAGTTTCAAAGTCATGAGCAGTCGCAAGACTCGATGCACTTTTGATGCCGTCAGAAATTTCCTTCCGACATAGATTTGCTAATGCCGTTCCTGGTCCTATAAATACTAAAATATCCACTCCTAGATTGCTCTTTGGCATTCCTGTTATCGTATTTGACCACATAACTGGCGATCGAATGGCAGAAGCAAGATGATCCCGCAGGGCGTTTCCTGTAAGCGTGTAACTTGCTTGGCCAGTAGGAGGAGACAGGATGATGGGACGAAGAGGTGGGTTGAGGGTAACGGCTTCCAGTGCGATTGCCATGCCCTGTGAGGCTGGAGTTATGATGATGATACATAAGCACTGTATTGATAGGGTTTTCAATTTGGGCATTATGGTCAATTGAGATGCTGAGGATAGATGATAGGATTCGATCAAGTAAGCCAATGGCCATGGACCATCAACATTCATTACTACCAATCACTAATCAAGATCAAGACCAGCATCCTCATACTTCTCTGTTTACCATGGCATCCGTCACTTCACTCACTGTCTCAATCCCATCCACTTCAACTTCAACTTCCAACCTCAAGCAACAACAACAACTACTACAACCGAAGTCGAGATGGTTCTCAATCGAATTCTTTATCTATTATCTTGTCTTTGTTTGCTCACTCATCAAGATGGTCTCAACTACCCTCTCACTAAGTCAGGGTATGTTAAAGTTAACCTTCGTTTGATCTCAATGGCAATTTTACTGATACTATTCTTGTAAATTTTCAGAACAACATCGAAACTATCCGTTCTATAAACATAAACTCTCCCCTGGTTGGATATTCGATCGCAAGATTGTAAGGTGCTCTCCCCCTTTAGTTTAACCCGTTTTCTCCATTTATCTTTAGAAAAACTCTTACTCAAAGAAAAGTATTCGTCCGTTTGTAATTCTCGATTCTTTTGATCCCAGGATATCTCCGATTCACAATATCGTCGCTTTCGACTAGGACTTGGTCAATTGACTGCATTGGCGTTCGGCTATTTACTCATCGCTCGACTCGTTGGCCGTCATTCCCGAAACCGCATCAAATTTCAAACTTGTGCAGCTGCTTTGATCCTCCTCGCACTACATGGTACATCGGTCTTCAAGATTCTCATTATCATCACTGCCAATTATCATCTGGCTCGTCGTGCACCATCACCTTTGATTTGGGTCTTTAATGTCGGGGTATTGTTTGCGAATGATTATTGGGACGGTTATCGGTACCGGCACTTTTTGCCCCTTTTGTCTTTCCTGGTCAGTCACCGACTATCAAAGCTTTTGATAGTCAATCGATAGCTATCAGCTCATATGAATTTCCTCCCTAATTCGTTTATTGTAGGACCAAGGAAAATATCGTGGATTGATTCCACGATGGCAAATCGGCTTCAATATCTCCATGCTTCGTCTGATCTCTTACAGCTTTGATTATCAATGGGCAGCGGCTGCAAAAGCCAAACAAACTACCAGTACCGACACTTTTACCGCACCCAATACAACAGTAAAGATTCTTTCTTCTTACTCAAGTTATCCTCATGGACTATTCTGAGATGAAGTTTAAATCAATTTGAAGGTCGAAAAAGGTGAAGAAAATGACCGACGTAGAACAGATTCACCTCGAGAGTTATCTGAATATGGGTTCATCAATTATTTCAATTACGTTTTCTATCCACCACTCTATATCGCTGGACCGATCATCACTTTCAATAATTTCACATCTCAGGTGCGTTTTCTTTCCCCATTCCTAAAGAGGATTTTGTCCGGCTTGATAACTTAAGCCTGCTTTCTTGTCATCTTTAGATTGCCAGGTCACCCAGTACCATTACTCCCAGAATGATCATTGGATATTCGATTCGGTTTTTAATCTGCTTCCTTACAATGGAATTCGTCTTGCACTATATGTATGTAATCGCAATCAAGGATGCAAGAGCCTGGGGGGGAGATTCACCATTTGAATTGAGTATGATCGGATACTGGAATTTGATAGCTGTGTGGCTCAAGGTTTGAATCTCATTTTTAATTTTCTGAAGTTTTGATTTTAAACTGACATTGGGTTCTTGATTTTGCAAAGTTGTTGATTCCTTGGAGATTCTTCAGGTTATGGGCTTTGCTGGATGGGGTGGATGCACCTGAAAATATGGTCAGGTGTATGGCCAATAATTATTCCACTTTGGCCTTCTGGAGAAGTTGGCATCGGAGTTATAACTTATGGATTGTCAGGTTAGTCGAAACCTCTTCACAATTATAACAAGAAGATTTTCTTGAGGGCTGATGGTTCTAGTCTATAGGTATATCTATTTACCGCTAGGTGGATCTAACAATGTTGTACCATCCACTATCTTGGTTTTTACTTTTGTGGCACTTTGGCATGATCTTTCGTTGAGATTGCTATGGTGGGGATGGCTCGTTAGCGTCTTTGTGATTCCTGAAGTATTAGCTAAAAAGGTCTTTTCGGGTTCAATTGTAAGCCTTCGATGTTTTTCCAATCAAGCTTCATGTTTCATACATTTCAAATTAATTTTTTGGATAATGTTTTGATTGCAAATTTTTGAAACCAATAGCATGAGAAGAAATGGTATTTTAGACATTTGTCTGCTATTGGTGGAACATTGAATGTTTTGAGTATGATGTCTGCCAATCTTGTTGGATTTGCTATTGGATTGGATGGGGTTAAAGTTATGTGGTCTCAAATCCTTGGATCTTGGTCTGGTAAGATCTTAATTCAAACAAAGTCCTTACACCCAAAGAAGGAAACTGATGGGAAAGTTATCTTTCAGGCTTTTTGACCCTTTTGACTACTGTTGGTGCGTTATTTTGTGCGGTACAAATGATGATGGAATATAGGTTAGTTTCTTTTTGGATATAATCGAGGAGCTCCAAGTAGTGATTTTTTGCATCGATGGATAAATAGGGAGGAAGAAAGAAGAGAAGGGATTTGGAGGAAGTGTTGATTGAAAGAGGAATGCTTTTGCTGAGAAGTCTGAAAATCAAGTATGTTTGAAAAGCAAGTAAAAGTAAACCTTAATCAATTAAGCTTTCATCTTTTTTTTTGCAAAATGGTAGCCTCTTTTGGTTGATTTATTGGGAAATGTAGGTGTTCTTTTTGGCATTTAATGTAATTATATAGGTATATAGATTGATTGAAGATCATCAATTAGCATTTGATGTGCCTTGAGTTTTTTGGTTTTGTTTTGGATGTAATTGAATTTTCATTGAAACCTGTCCATAGCAATTTGATGGATTTCTTACATACATTTGGTGTAGTGATATGTGGTATAACAAGAGAAATAATTTTCACTTTCCCAATTCAATGCAGGTCAATCTAAAGCCAGGTAAAGTCATTCTACATTTGCTACAGTATGACATTATCATGAATAGCATAGCAGCTTTGTATGATATCTTTGACCTATGAGTATCCTTGTCCTTTGTGCATGTGAGAGTTTTGGCCATGTTCATCACATGTCTTTGATATAGGCCAGCTTTGCACTGTGTTGTGTGCAACATGTAATTTCTGACCTACAACACAATGGACCCCCAGACTTGGACTGCAGCAGTAACAGTACTGAGTAGTTTGTAGGAAAACATTATTGACCCAAGGTGATGGTAGTGCTACCCAAGTCCATGTTGCACTTCCAGGGACCAATATTACAGCAGAACATGTGTGCTGTGTTGTAGGTTTGTAATTTACCCATATGAACTTGGAAGCTTGCTAGACTAAAACCTTCCCTGGACCTGCCCACCCTAAAATTAGTCCTCAGGATCAGGCCTCTATGATACTCAAAATGAAGTGTGCCCACCAGGTGAATTTTGAAATACTTCATACCCATAGTGTTTATCCATCATTGGTGAATCATCAATGAAGAATTTAAATTTGGAAAGACCAAAAACTTGTCCACAAAAAAATATCATAAAAGAAAGACAGTGCAGTTTGACTACATATACATACATCAAACTGTAGCTATTAGAAAAAATCTAAATTGTCATGGCCAGTAACACTTTCCAGAATTGAAGCTTTCCACCATTACAGAGCCTATCTCCTCTTTCAATGAAGCCATCAAGTATAGACATCCATTGATCAAGTTTGCACAAAACAACAAAGTCTCACTAATATTGAAAATTAGTCCATAACACCGGGGATTTTTAGCATTGAAAGCCATCTCTCAAATGACTTTGAGGAGTGAAAGCAGTTCATCTTCTTTACAACTTTATGCATTTGTTTTATTTCTATTTCACAAACAAGAGTCTCAACATGTATATACAATCAGAATCAGATAATGTCAATTCACAAAAGAAAACTCTTAATCATTCCCACCACTTGAATCATCCCCATCACTTTGATTATTCCAACTGCTTATGATTTCTTCATTGTCTCACAGCTTTATTAGGATCAGTAGGAGGAGTACAAAACAGAATTCCCTGACCAGCTTTGTCGTTACAGGGATTTTTGGAATTGCTACCTACAAAAGTCATTGTTTCTTTCTTGTTGCATTGGATTGTGCCAGTAAACTTGCCAGTCGGATCTTCCTTTGATGGTACACATTGAGCTTTTGATGAAGTTGGTTTTGTACCCTTCGTAACACATAAGACCGAAGGTGGGTTAACAACAGGAGTTGCTGCAGCACCTTTTTTGCAAGAGATCGGAATTGCAGACAATTCACAAAAGAGCTTGGTTGGTTTCTTTCCACTTTTATCACAATCTTTGAATTTGATTTCAAGTTTCGCTTTGTCACTACATCCAAGTTCACCTCTGGCTGTTGCGCCTGCTGGGGCTGTTGTTGACTTTGAGTCCACTTTAGTGCATATAAGTTGCGGCTCCTTTGAACTAGTGCCCGTTTTCTTGCAAGTGGGCTTTTGTTTCAAAGGGTCTCCACCAGTCGCCGCACAGAATACGTCGAGATTACTTTGATCGTTGTTTGCTCGTTTGACGAACAATTGCGAACCTTCCACTTTAGGCGCATGAATGTACACCGCTACAAGAAAAACCAAAGTAACAATGCCACAAGATTTCATTTTTGAGAAGCTGGATTGAGGGTGAATTGGAAAGATGATCTAAGAAGCTAAGTTCGGATATATGAAGAAGGGAGACTTCAAGTTTCAAACTCGAGGTGTCCAGGGGTAAGTGGAGAGTAACAAGGTGTCAAAGAGTTCGTCAAGAAAGCTCTTCGTCTACTTTGGAAATCAACGAGTCAACTAGAAATATATTGAATGTGATATAAGGACAAGGTCTAATTTTTGCTTTGTGCGAATGTAGGTAGGTGCAGAATGAAATGTTGAGATGCAATAAGATACACTTTGTGAGGTATGGCTGAGGAAGTGAGGAATGGGTAATTGGGGGTGAATGTGTGCTGCTTTTATAGTCCACCGGTCTCAGGAAGGACGGCGAACATGCAGCTATCAAGGTTTTGCTCATGCACAGCAGTGCTCATGTGTGATCGTTAACAATGAGCGAGTGGCTCTTAGTCTTACGTCACTTCCAACAGGCAAAATCCAAATTAGGTTTTGAGTTTGAGCTCAAGAGATCACATTCTTGGTGAGGCATTCTCGGAAGTGATAGGGAAGCCAGCCAAAGAACATTTCACCGAGACCGAATCACGATCTTTCAAAGACGTGGTCTCGGACTTTAAGGCGATCGACAAGGATCGACATATGACTACGAAAGAAATTCCAAAATTTCAGTCTGATTCCTTCATTTAACGATGTCACTACGATGTCAGTCGATAGCAATCCTTAGCAATCCCGTCTCATCCGGACGGACTTGTCCACATTGGACGCCAGCATCAGAGCTAAACCTAGCCGAACATCGTATCTTCGGGGAAACGGCACGCGAGGGAGGCGTCCGAGGTGGTTGTCGACCCTTGTCGATGCATGACATCAGCTCCTGGGTTGCTCCATTCCTTGATGCTAATATTCGAATGATCATTGGGTCTAGCGTCCGAGCCAAAGTTTCGCAGACGGCATATTCATCAAAGTTGCCAAAGTTCTTGACCCTTTTGTATATCCTTTCTTCATCTATTATCATTAAGCGTGAATCTTCTCACTGCAACCAGTGATTCAGAAGTTGAAATCTATCAATCAAAAACATAACTGTACCAGAATTACAGCCGGGCCATGCTTGAAATTGATTATTCTTTTGTCCTTATCAAGTGTGTGCCTTGTGTTTCAACAACCTTTTTTTGATTGGGGATCATCACAAACCTGATCATACACGACAATATGGAATTAAAATTGAGAAGCATAATATGTCAATCTTGAGGGCGCGTTCACTTGAGAATATTCTGACCAGAAATCACATTCTGTAAATATTTTAATGCAAAAATGAAACATGCACCACCAAATAGACACTTTAAATTTTGCAGAATGTGATTTCTCACCAGAAATTGCTTAAGTGAACGCGCCCTGAATGTATCAACGCTGTGATATTGCTTTAGGCCTTGGATTCGCTCCACATGGATACATAAATGACACACTCCAGTAGGTGTAAACGGAAAATAGTCAATTAGGGCGCACTTGCGTTGAGGTGAATGTTTAAAAGTCAACTTGTAGGTTAGATTTGAAAGACGTGAATCCATAAAAAATTGGTTTCCTGTAACCAAAAAATATGATGAACTAAATTAAATTCCAATCAAGATGAAGAGAAGCTTTTGATTTCCAGGGTAGTATAATTTAGGTATTGCGGATTCACCAATGAAAAAACATACAGTATTCTTGTGTAGTACATACATGAATTTCAGAGAAAAAGAATCATGAGATCATATGTACAGGACAGGCACATTTGAAGGAAATGAGGTAAGCCTTAAGGCAGTGTTGGGATTGGAAAATCACACAAGTCAAGACTGGGCTGTTGATTGAAGTATTGCACAATGGATGTCAACAAAAAAAATGATACCCTACAAAAACCCCCACCACCACACCCACTGAATGTGCTATGACTCTTTTTGACTCTGGCCTGTTTTACTTTTCCTGCCAAATCTTGCAGCTGATCCTGTGAGTCAAGTACAAAAGGATTTCCCCTACAAAAGAATCTGTGAATATACTCCAACTGGTTGTAAGACCACATTCCGTGTTGTTCTAGCTGTGGACACCATTAATGATTTTGATGTGCCCACTATGGCCGCCATTGCATCTTTCCTTGTTGGCATCCCAGAAAAAGTTATTTTTCTGTTGATGCTAGATGTACTTGACATCCCTGAACGTCCTTGTGCACTATCTTCAAACTCAACAAGTTGCCTTACGGCTTTAAACAATCTCTGCAATGTTGGTATAAACAACTCACAGTGTTCTTCATCTCCATTTCTTTCAGAGAATCCAGGGCCAATTTATGTCTATCAATCAGCCTTGAGAAGTCTCAAATTTGCTATGTTTCTGTGCATGTCAATGACATGGCCATCACCAGTAACAAACAAGGGATTCCCATCTTCAAATCCCTTAGTTCTGAGTGGTTTGAGATAGACAACATAGGCAAAGCAACTTCCATCCTTGGTATGAAGATCACTTGTAATTGTGCTATCAAAAAGATATTGTTATAAGAACACTATATCCAGACGCTGCTTGATCACTATGGCATGTCACAAAGGTCTTCAGTCTTGACATCTATGGTACCCAACAAGTGTCTCTTGCCCGCCAGCGCAGAATTGTTGAGGCCTTCAGAGCAAGCCTTCTGAACTACTGTCAAGAAGTTGGTTCCATCAACTACATAGTTTGATTCTCAGCTCCTGATCTAGCTTTCACCTGCTCCCAGATCTCTCAACATCTTGAGAACCCAGGCAAAGAGAAGTGGGATGCTTTCCATTGTCTTCTCCACAATATTCAAGGCACCTCAATTATTGCATCACCTAAGGCCCCCATTCCCTGGCCAAAGGATTCTTAGCTCACTTTTTACCAGTCAATTATGCCAATGCCAACTGGGCTGGTTGTATCAACACTTGCTGATCCACAACTGGGGATTTTTTCATGATCTTTGGAGATCCCACCAGCTGGAAATCTGAAAAGCAACCTGTTGTTTCTTTTGCTACTACAGAAGCGGAATACACAGTGGTAGTAAAAGCAGTTCAAGAACTAATGTGGCTTCAGACAATCTTCAATAACTTGAAGGTGGTCACCAACAAAACCATTCCTTTATTTAAAAACTTTCAATGTTGTATTTCATTGGCAACTAATCCTATCTTCCATGCACAAACAAAACACATTGGAATCCAGTATCATTAGATTCATGAGAAAATAGAAGGCAGTTTTTTTCTAATTTATAAACCTACCAGTGAAATAAATGCTGACTGTTCCACTAAATCATTATCTCATTTTTGAATAATAGACGCTGTGTTAGTATGAGTCCTATGCCCAACTCTATACAATCTTCATAGATTTTCAAAGCAGCGGGGTTTAAGGTAATTGACTCTTCACTCATGTAGTTCTTTTTGCAATCACATTGTTGTTGTTAATCTCCTCTGATTTTGTTCTTTTCTATTCTGACTCCACAATGGTTTGTTTCCTCTCAGCCTATCCACTTGTACCCTGGTTTTACAAGATCAATTCTTTGATATACTTTTTCTGTCTAGCTGTTTGTTATGAGCTATATCACAGACAGGTGAAACTCACGTTGTAGTATTTAAAGCTCAACAAGAGCTTTACAACACCTAAGAAGGGATAATCTACTACGTGTAATATAGTAGAAGTTGCCTAAAGACTGCCTTCTTCAAAGAAACCAGCACAAGAGCACTTGCTGACCACTTTGTGATAACAGAGAAAAAGATAAAGGCACCAGAGAAATAAAGCAATACTGTTGTGAAGTATTATTCCCAGATTTTAAGCGCAAAAAGTCCACACACTATGTTATTACTAGCAATACTGTTGTTAAGTATTATTCCCAAATTGACTCATAGTCTTTAACACACGTAAATAAATTTCTCCTTGCTTTGAAGGGGCGGATTTAAGTGATCTTAGTACAAATATAGTAAATAAATGATGATTTATAACACTACAACAAAGGTATAAGATGCAGAAAAGGGAACAAAAATCCCAAAATCATCAAGGAGTACTTATATCCACATGTAACAACCTCTACAATAGTCAACAGCCTCAAAAACCAGCCAAATCCGTCTAAAGAACCCTAAAAACCATGTAATGACGCAATGTAATGATCTTGTTACTAATGTATGATGTAATTTTCACAGCCAAAAGTAATCAATGACGCAGTGATTTAATGTACAGCACTTCTTAAGATGAATACAGGTGATTTTTTCCTTGTAAACTAGCTGCAAACCAATTTTTGAGATTACGAATTTTTTCAGATGGGGTCCAATTTTGAACTACTATAGTGCATCTTGTAGCCCTCGTGATGCTGATCATTTACGACACCCATATGACCTATTTCTGATGAGTGATGAGTAAGTTATTGAGTTGTGAAGTTAAGGTTTTTGGTGTTACATGTTGACTTGTGACTGTAAATTCAAGATTCACACCACTTTCTTATTTCCCTTATACCTTTTTACATACACCTCTGTTACTAATTGTTTAACGCTTGTACATTATGTAATACACTCTCCTGCGTTGAATGAGCTATCTACCAACCTAATCTGACGTCATTTGACATATGTAATTAGCTGAAAACCTTCATTTTTGACGAAATTCACCCATTTTCTTCACTTTTCACAGCTGCTACTCTCTTCTCCTTGCTCATTTAATATGACATCATCTTCTATAACCTTAAAAATCCCAAAAAATCCTCTTGGCAACCTTAATTTCCACTCCTACCACCATTACATATGTAAACTACACGTATAACCCTTGTTTACCATCCTCAAAAAATACCTTTCTGCTAATAACTTCTGTTTTTCCTTATCAACCTCCAAGATTAAAATTGTTGCTGTATAATAAAATGTTTTTCTTTCATATTCTATACCCTAATAAACCCATAACTTAATTATTAATACCATAAAAACCATTTTCCAACTTTTACACCTATATTTTCAAATTTTTCTTATCTTTTCTTTTTCTGTCTTTTTGTAATAACTTTGAAAGTAAACTATAATGATCTTAAGAGTATATTTGAAATAAGATGACGTAATCTTGAGTTAATAACTACACATAAGCCTCTAAGAGCTTCAATTGATCTGAAAACCTTCATTTCAAATTTTCTACTACACTGAAGTTTTCTAATAATTTGGTAAAGTAATAATGATTAATTTTCTTGATTGATCCCATAAATAGATCACCAAAACATACATACATGTCACAGAACTTAGAGAGCACCATCAGATATAGCCATGCTGCACTTGTACTTCCTTTCCTCAGACGGCAATCTATCTACCAACAGAGCCTTACTAGCTAGACTCCACCGTACCCTGAGCCTGCAACACTGTTTCTTTTCTCATTCATTCTTATCATTGTCACTTGCACCAATAGGTACTTTGCTTTCTTAACACACTTATGCTCTCCTTTAGCTTATGCTGAGAACCTGTTGTGTTTCTCAAAGCTTGATCATCTATAAATTGGAAAACATTGTTGTATTCTTGAAATCAGTGGAGGAACACAAAGCATGTTAAACCTTAATTTTGGATAGACTTTGGAAGGCAAACCTATATGGTTGCAAGAAGAAGACAAAACTCTTCAACAGGGTGGTAAAATCTCAAGTTATTTCATTTCTAATAGTCCCATCACATTCAAATCAAAGCAAATGTCAATGGCCAAGCGTAAAGACCCAGCTCATGAATAAGAAATGTTGATGGTAATCCACACGCTTCAGAAGTGGAGAATGATTCTTCTGGGCATTAAGGTGAATGTGATGGGTGATCACCATTCTCTAATGTACCTTCTGAAACCACACTCCCTCAGCCAACACTAAGCCCATTGGCTTGAGACATTGGCTGAATTCAATTTACATGTCCAATATATCAAGGGAGGAGACAATTATGTTGCAGATGTGTTATTCAGAAAAGACTCAGAAGATTCACAGGTGGGAGTGGAGACTGTGGAAATATTAGCCATTTCATGTTAATATACTATCTTATCAGGAAACCTATGTTAAGATATCATCTTGGTAGGTAGTCAAAGATCATTTCCGCTTTTGGTAATTTGAATACATCTTGGAAGGTTGTACGGTTTGGGTAAGAAGAAATGGTGTGCTGTGCAGTATTAGTGTAGGAAGTTGACCAAAGGGGTTAAGCGCTGAATAACAAAGCGTACCAAGGGGCTGAATGGTAAACGGATTCAAGGGATGGAAAATTTTCTTTCTGGGTTACCTTCTCTCTCTCTGAAAAGTTGTTCTTCCCCCTCTTCTGATTCTTTTCTTGTCAAAAAGAATCAGTAAGTCCTTTCTCCTAAAAATCTATCAATTTGTCTTTTCTTTTACAACTCTTTCTTTTACTAACATCATATCATTCCTCTCAGATTGTTAAATTCATTTTTATCTTATTAACTTTCTTACGTGTGCTTCACAATATCCTTTGAGCTCGCAGGTAGTGAAAGTTTCTCTTATCTTTTATTTTGATCTTTGTTAATTTCTCTTTCATACTCTTCTATCGTGCGTTTATGACTGTCTGGGTTAGTGTCTTGTATTGTCTTAGACCTGCTGTCCGCCGTAGTCTTACAAAGATACCTGTGCCCTCAGGTAAGCTCATCGAAAAGGATCAATTGTTAAATTCATTTTTATCTTATTAACTTTCTTATGCGTGCTTCACAATATCTTTTGAGCTCGCAGGTTAGTGTCTTGTATCGTCTTAGACCTGCTGTCCGCCGTAGTCTTACAAAGATACCTGTGCCCTCAGGGTATCAATCTTTTACTACAGGCAAAGTTAGAAGCGGATAGTCAAGACTAAGATTCCCCAGGAATCACAAGATCACTTTCTCACCAAGAAATTATATTTCACACACCAGACTTTCAGAAGATCTCAAGAATAATGTCCTCCAAGGTTACAAGCAAGACAAGTTCTGTACTGTGGTACACAATGGAGAACCACTTTGGGTCAACTGCTATGTGGATGGCGGCTTGATTTTTATTGAAAAATGGTCATTGATCCCAACCACTGAAAATGTAGGCATTCATCTCATCAAAAAAGCAAAAAAGCAAGCGGGCCATTTTGGTGTATTAAAACCTTTGTCCAGCCTCTGCTGGGATTTCTTTCGGCAAAGGATGAGCAAAGATGTCAATATCCACCTCAAATCCTGTGTGATATGCCAGAATATCCTTACCTAACAGACACACAAGAACATCAAAAATACCCACTGAGCCACTGACAAACAGTGTCATCAATTTTATCTGGCCACTTCTAAATATTAACAACTATGATATGTTACTAACAGTTACTTTCCGTTTTTCAGCCTTCACTCAACTCATTCTTGCAAATCAACCAGGCAAAACCAAAAATACCGCTTTGAGGTTCTTTTGTGTGTGGATGTGAACTTTGGGAGCACCTAACCCAATCATTAGTGATAGAGACCAGGCTTGAACGTCTAAATTTTGGAGATCCCTCATTTTCCGCTTCAATGCCTCCTTTCATTGGTCTTCAGCAATCCACCCTCACATAGACAGCAGGAGTGAAGAAACAAATAAGACAGGGGGCTAGATACTCTGCACCTTCATGGCTAAACATCAAAAATGATGGTTAGAAGCTCTACCTTTGGTTGAACTCACAATTAGCAGTGCAAAAATATGGCTACAGCACCTTTGCAGGTGGTTTTTGGCTAACCAGCCAAACTCTTTCCCTCTAGTGGATTGACAGATGATGTGGACCAGCAAGGTACAACAAGCCTTACAGAATACTAAATGTCACATGGATGTGTTAGTCAAAACAGACAGTTGGGTACTACTAGACTCTGGTGATTGGCAAGGTTGACACTGTGGTGGGGATGATAAGCTTAAAGAACACTCCAAGGGTCCCTTAAAGGTGCTGGACACCTTTAACAAAGTTCCCTCAACTTACCTACTAGTACCAGGGACAAACAAAATGATGTCTTCAATATCTCAGAACTGAAGCCTTTTGTGGAAAACATGGAACAAGGGCCAGAGGCCCAAAAGTAAGTTCTCTCCTTAGTATTCAACCTGTTTTTGTCAAATAATTCCCTTGGCACAAGGAGGGGTGTTGTTCAGACCCTTTTTTTTGGTTTACTCCCTTCAGTTGATCCCACCAATGCCTCAACACAAAAACACAGAAGCGGCACAGCATGTTTTCTTTCTCTTGTTTTTCTTTTGATTTCTCTTTCTTTTCTTCTTTTCTTGTCTTGGTGCTTGTCTCATTTCATAATCATTTTTTTTCTTTCACTTACGCTCAAAATACCACAACGCTCACAATCATTAAATACCTGTTACATTGAGCAACTATGCAGGACCCCTTTTGGCTTCATGCTTTTACTCGCACTTGTTTTCCTTCTTTCTCTTTCTCCTTTTCTTTTACAACTCTTGCACCTTGGCACTCAAATCTTTTTTATAGGAGGGGAGGATTTATGGTTGTTGTAGAGTCCATTACAAACATATTACAACGACATTATCCTTATACACAAACACATGTCCTTTCATCTCAATCACCGCGCACAACACTGACTCCCCAGGGAATCTAGACTGATCTAAATTGATGTACTTTTAGAGTTCGATAATCAAACCACACAGTTGGGTTCTAAAATCAGGCCAAGATCAAATTCCAAACCTCTGTTCCCTCAGGCTGTAGATTCAAATAAAAGTTACAGTTTTAGTGAGGTCAATTAGAGTCCTTTACGCATTGCCATTGGCAAAGGAGTTCATACCACCAGATATTTTTAGCATTCAAAGCCATTTCTCAAATGATTTTGGGGACTAGAATCATTTTATCTTCTTCACAACTTTATTCATTTGATTTGTTACATACATATAAGGCTGTTTCAGGAACAAGGGTCTCCTTCAAACCTTAATACATGCATTCAGAAAATGTAAAATCACAAAGTGTTTCTAGCTCTCCAACTTTCCCACCACTTATGCCCCTTTCAATTCTTTACAGGTTTGCTAGGAGGAGTACAAAACAGCTTTCCATTACCAACTGGGGCATTGCAGGGGTTTTTGACACTGGTACCAACAAAAGTCATTGTTTCTCCCTTCTTGCATTGAAGTGCCCCAGTAAACTTTCCAGTTGGACCTGACTTTGATGGTATACATTGAGGTTCAGTAACAGTCGGCTTTACACCAATGGTGATGCAGGAGATCAAAGGTGGGTTGACAAGAGGAGTTGCTGAAGGACCTGTTTTACAGGAGATTGGAATTGAAGGCAATTCACAAAAGATCTTTGTTGGTTTCTTTCCATTTTTATCACAATCTTTGAATTCGATTTCAAGTTTTGCTTTTTCACTACACTGAAGTTCACCTCTGGTTGTTGCGTTTGTTGGGGTTTTTGACTTTGGAATTGCTGGCTTGTCACACAACAGTCGAGGTTCTTTTGAAGAAGCGTCTTTTTTCTTGCAAGTGGGCTTCTGTTTCAAAGGTTTTCCACCAGTCGCCGCACAGAATACGTCGAAATTACTTTGATCTTTTTTTGCCCGTTTGACAAACAATTGCGAACCTTTCACTTCAGGCGCATGAATGTACACCACTACCAAAAAAACCAACGTAACGACGCCAAAAGATTTCGTTTTTAGGAAGCTTGCTTGAGTGTGAATTGGAGAGATGGGCTAAGAAGCTAGGTTCGAATATATCAAGAAAGGAGACTTCAAGTTTCAAACTCGAGGTGTCCAGGGAGAAGTGGAGAGTAACAGAGTGTCAAAGAGTTCGTCAAGAAGGCTCTTTGTCTACTTTGCAAATCAAAGAGTCAACTATAAATATATTGAATGTGATATAAGGACAAGGTCTAATTTTTGCTTTGTGCAAATGTAGATAGAATGTTGAAATCCAGTACAGTACACTTTATGAGGGATGGCTGAGGAGGTGAGGAATAGTCAAATGGGAGTATATGCGTACTGCTTTTATATTCCACCGATCTCAGGCAGGACACTGATGATTGAGCCATCACTGTTTTGCTGATGTAAAATCGGATTTGCTAACACCCAAATGCGCGCCTGGCTCTTGCACCACGTCCGACAAGACAATCCTAAATTTGCTTTGAAGTTCGAGCCTCAGAGCTCACATTGACGGGAAGGCGTTCTCGGAATTGCCATTTAAAATAATATTTCACCGAGACCGAATCAAGATGTATCACAGACGCGGTGTTTGCCCTTGAGTCGACGGAGGATATGACTCCCCAAGAAATCCCAAATTTCAGTCTGGTGATGTCATCCTATGATGTCAGTCAATAGCAATCCGTATCAATCCCCTCTCGTTCGGACTGACCCTCCCGGTTGCCCCGTTCCTCGATGCCAATATCCGAATGATGTCATAGCCTCCGAGACAAAGGTCTGGGCACATAGGACCCTGGAGAGCGCCGAGGGAACCTACCGATGAAACGAGGTTTTTGGATACCAAGATCCTGTGAAACCACATGTCACATTCCCTTACATGTGACATGCTCAAAAGATGCGCAAAGACATAGGCTATCTGCTGGTGTACATCTGGAAGCCACAGCGTGTCTGGTTGCCGCACAAAAGTGCAATTAAGGTTTTTTTGCCCCGAGGCTTGAGAATAATTCATACCTGGTCGGACTTTGTGTTACAACCGGATATCTCCGTAATTACATGTGCTACATAGGTGAAAGTGTATGTAATCAATAGCAAACGTTACAAACAATCTCCCGTGACATGGCAAGCTGTCCCAATTTGCCCTCACTCACGGGAAATTTACAAAACGTGTGGCCGGGGCCGGTATGATCCGTTCATCGGTTGGTTCCCTCAGCGCTCTCCAGGGTCCTGGGCACATGAATGATGATATTCATCAAAAGTGCGGAAAAAAAGGAGTGCGGAAGTTCTTGAGCTTCTTGCATGACCTATCTTCACCTGTCTTGTACCATCAGCCCTAGTTCTAGTAGTTTCTCTACTTTTATTCTCATGTCTAACTTGCAATCAAACGTTCTGAAGTTGAAATCTATCAAACAAACTTTCAGTCTGACAGTTGTACTCTCTCAGCCAGAATTATAGACTGACCTTGCTTGAATGTGCTTTTGTCGTTATCAAGTGTGTACATGGCAAAAACATCATTGTTTTAACTATACGCTATCACGAACCTGATACTAAACTATCACTATAGAATCAACAAGAAGCCTGAAAAGTGAAGCATGAATATATTATGGCTGTGATACATTGGATTTGTTCTGGAATCTGCATAGATAGAGGACAAAAACTCAAGTAGAGGACAATAGAAATGAACACAATCAAGCTTATTAGATGGATGTTGGAAAGTCAGATTGTGTCAGAAACCAATGTTCAGAAAGAATTAAATTCATCACAATCTGTCTCCTATGTGTAGTCAGAAATTATGACCAACTAACTTATCATCCAACCAAGGTGATGAGAAGATTTTGAAGTCCAGTAAAATAATCTAAATGATGCAGATTCACCAATGAAAAAAAAACAAATAATATTCTTGCTTAGTACATACATTTGAGAGAAGAGGAACTAAGAGAGCATATGTACAGGATGGGTGCAATTGAATGCAGTGAGGCAAGGTAGTTTTAAGATCGAAATATTGACACAAATTCAGAGGAAACGGACGGCAATTCGCCTATTGATTGACATTGCTTTTGGACGTTAACAAAACCCGTAAAAGTCTAGATGCAAGACATCTGGTTAGTACACAGTTCAATTTTTCAAACCTCAGTCAGTGTCATTTTTGAGCTATGATAGAAGGTCAATTGGGGCTCATGGAACTCACCCCGAGATATTGCATAATCCTTGAGGCAATTCGAAGATCGAAACCAAGAGACTCGCATATATGTCAACGAAAAAGACGATACAATATAAAAAGCCCCACTACTGCGCCCACTGAATATACTATCACTCTTGTCTGACTCTGGCCTGTTTTGATTGTCCTTCCAAATCTTGCAGCTGACCCTGTGAGTTGAGTACGAAAGGATTCAAATTGATTTCCCTACAAAAGAATCTGTAAAGGTAAGCTGACAGGCAGAGCAAAAGGTGATAGATCACGGGGGATAGGGGTTGGAAAAACGTACCGTTTGTTCAAGAAGTCGGTTCTGAGACAATGAATCAGAGTGAATATCGATTGTAACCTAAACCCAACAATGATTTGATCAAGTAAATGATATACACAAATTTGGTATCAGCTTTACGTCTACAGGACCAATGTGAATAATTTGGTTTGAAAGCTGATTAGCGCCTGAATTTAGTAAGAAGCATTGACATTTTTTATCGAGTTGAGCTTTGAGTAAAGGGCATCGAGCCTTTCATCGTTTTGTTGTTCCATTCAGATCTCTGTCAATTGTTTAAGACTTGTAATCTAGAGGCGCTCGTTCTTAAGTCGGATGATTATGAAATTGAATTTGGAACCGATAAATATATTGAGAATCTAAATTCCACAAAGCTGGATCGGGGAGGTCGAGAATTTGACTTTGAAAGGGTGAAAAGTTGTAAATGTTGAGGTTGAGAAGTTGGTGGCGATCGAGGTTGATAAGTCTGTCCACATGCAATCGTGGCAAGCTGTAAAGGGGGCTGTCCCGGTACACGCCGGATACCAAGCAGCCGGCCACGAGGAAGCACCACCCCGGACCAATTGCAGGACTGTACTGGTCTGGTTAGGTCTGGTGTATTGAGGATATTTGATTCAACACTACGTACTTCTTAGCCCCTTCCAAAGGGTTGAAGAGGATGATATCAAAAATTTCATATGTGAGACTTTTAGTAGTGTCTTAATTGTGCTTGCAAGATTGATTCAAGGTCTTTTACAGGTTTTATTTTTCTGGCAGCATCCTTGGTATTGTGTACCTACTACAAAAGGTCTCATTTTAACTTCAACTTACTACATAAAGCGGCCATTTTTAATTGAAATCTCAAACCAACTTTCAGGCACTTGGGACAGGAGTGTAATCAAACTATAACATGAGACCAAAAATTCTTGTTACAGGTCAATTCAAATTGTTAAGCACACCAGACATTGGTTTGATAGTGACCTACTCCCTCTGTCTGTTAACTCATCTGGAGGCCACACTGACCTAGAAAGTAGATATATTCCGTTCTCAAAACTAGGAAAACTCCATTCTTCAAAGGGATGGCCAGGTATTACACAGATATTCCTTTGGCATAAAATAGATTTTGGCACCTAAGGTGATTCTGTATTTATACCACTTCCTATTTTCCCTTTCATCTGCAAGGTAGCAGGTGAAGTCTGAGGGAAGATGACAATGGGTTTGAAGAATTAATGCTTCCACTATGTATATTTCATTCTGCTCTTTTGAAATAACAGGCAATGATCTTGATAGTGAACCATGGTATTAGTTGGTATTAGTGAGGGCAGGAGCACATTATGAGTTATCTCTAGGTTTGTAAGACATAGTCTCCTGAAGCTATACTAATAAGATTGTCCTAAAATTATCATCATCATTTATTTCTGAAAACCTCTGCCCATAACATATTTCAATGTCTCACCTCAAGCAGCAAACATAAAATCAATTAACTTACTTCGTGGAGAGGATCAAAGGTACCTTGACTACATGTTACAAGTCTTGGAGAGATGCCAACAGCACTCCTTTATTACTCTTGTCTGGATTAGCAATGTTGATCCATCCAGAGGATCACAAAGCTAAGGCAATCTATTACCCCTTTTGTTTTTCAACCTGTTGTACTTGGTTTTCTAGGTGATCAGTCTTAGCAACAATATTAATTGAATAGCATGAAATCTGGTAAACCTTAGATTTCTCATCCAAAGTATGTTGTACTCAAATGCTTATATCACACATGGATATCTTTTCAGCTTTGTGGTAGAGAACCACAAAACCTTCTGATGAAAAAATGTTGACACAGATTAAGATAAAATACATGTGTGGTATGGCATCATACATGTAAAAAATATGACATATCCATCCCTTCTTTTAACATAAATGCTCATGAATGAATATCCCAGGATTATGCCAAAAACCTTGCACTACATTCAATTGTGCAATGACTAGTTGAATTGACTTCTGTTATGACGGGCAAGAAGTCCAGTTGCTGCAGGAAGAGCTTGTGGTGCAGACAATGATATCAGGCACTAGTTGATAAATGCTCAATGATTTAAATGAATTTGTGTAAATATTCATTGAGTTAAATGTCAATTCTCATGTATTGCATTGCTGATTATATGTACATTGGGATAAACCATAATGTGATTCCATGATGAGAATCTTCATACTTGCAAATGTTGAAATTTCAGTGGTGAGATACAGATAAGTCCTTGACTATTTGCTGATGAACCAACACCGACATGTTGTGCAAATCTACTTTCAGTTTCTTTGGAAAAACATGGAATCCATTTGCAACCCAGTTCCCATCCTTTTGATTTGATTGTGTATGTTGAGTAATTGATCTAAATTCTTGTTCAAGGATATATAGATAGACAAGAAGACTACTTTGTTCTGCTTCAGCCAGACTTGGATTTTGTTCAAGTAAATTTACTGCTTGTCTACTAGCTTCCAGCAGTATTGAAACATTGTCTCTTTTACCTTCAACCTCTGGGCTCATATCTAAAGTGATGAGTTGATGGGATTGGGGTGCAAATAAACTGGTGCTAGAGCACAGCTTCTTTGAATCAACTAGAATCAAAAAGTAGTCAAATAGATGGAAATAAGAGATTTGAATGAGTTTTTTTAGAACCATGGTGAATCAAACAAATGATGATATACTAACCTTGTGTGATGTACTTTTTGGGTAAGAAAATGCCTGAAAAGCATAGAGAAAGGGTTCAATGTTAAAATTGTCCATTAAATTTCACAAAAATGCCATACCACCAGGATACATCACAACAACTTGAATGTCCACCGACCTTTTATGAGTGGATCAACAATTTCTGGATGCTTTGAGATTTGATCAATGACTTTATGCTTCAAGCTCATGAATGTGTATCTTATAACCCCGTCATGTGACCTGTTACTGGTGATATGCGGCAACTTATCCGAACTGAGGCTTCCCAAACACAATGCTAGATGACCCAGAAGATCAATATCAGAGAATGAATATAATGTGTATTCACGCATAAATTGAATGATATATCCATGTTGAGAATTCAAATCCAAAGGATTTCTTAGCTCTTCTGTTAGATCAGTAATTGTTTTAGCTGCTTCTGTCTTTTGCCCGTGAAGGATAGTATCAAACTTCTTCTTCAAGCTGCCATGTGTTTTTTCAATGTCACTCATCAGGGGAGCATCTTGATGTATGAATTGAATATTTCAGTACTAATCAATCCCGTCCTACCCATGGTGCAGGTTACTAAACCACTCACTTTCCCCTAAAAATGTCTCCCTGTCGAAATTTTTGAGAAGTACTTTCTCAGATGCAGTCATATCAGGTTCGGGCTTAATCTTCCTCCCAATCCCTGGAAACTTCTTTCCTGTAGACATAAATTGCATTGAAATAATTTGGAATGAAAGATTAGACACCACAGCAAACAAGGTAGTATACTTATCCTAGACCTTTTCTTGAAGGGGTTTAGATAAAATGGTCACTCACTGAAAGGGTACATCAATAATCCAAATGTCCGTGAAAGACCCCTCGTCAGCCACCCTCTAGGCTTGTCTAATTGCTTTGTTGTTCTTGCTTCTGAGAAGGATTGTCAGTAAGGGGATGTTATCAACAGCCATGAGTGATACTAATGGGGATTTAGGAACAACTGACCATCTTCCAACATGTAAAGTTCCTTTTGATCATCTGGATGACTGTTCTCACCTGTCATTCGAGATTTGAGGGGGAGATCAATCAATGAAAAACTATATAAAGGTGTTCATCGAGTTGATTTGAAACCACATACTCCATGGCCTGATCTTTCCCTCTGTGATTTTTTCATCTGAGTTTTCACAAAAAAAGATTCAAAAACTTGTCTTTGAAAATCGCTGAAAACCATTGAGAGATAAATGAATGTACAAAGATACCCTGTTGTGAGAGGAAAAAAGGAGTACCAAATAAATCTCCAAAAAAATTGACATGCACCAAATCACTCACGGAATGGCCTTCCCAAGTATTTCAACATACTGATAAGTTTCTCTTTGAACGGCTGCCTGGTGGGGGTCTTGACAGTTGTTCCCGCTGAAGGTAAAGACATCAAGACTTGATACCACAAAGTTATTATACGAACTTGTGATGAAATCTACCTACATGCACTGTCAAACTCAAAGTTTGGGCGGTGGTCTTCATTTGGCTCCACGGAAGACTTTACTCGTGTCTCCCTGGGATGACAACTTTCGCTTCCGATTCGCTCATATGGTGCACCTTTCAACGTGTCCTCGACCTCGTGAAGTCCTGTATATGCTCCATTCACCGGAAATGTCAGAGTTGCTAGGCTGAACAAAAGGATCACTTTGCCAAAGAGATGTAGGTATGGTCTTGAGATTCGAAATGAATTCATGTCAGCTTTTGGTCCAAAGATATCCAGTTTAGGATAGTTTGGGGATCTTGATACTTGTTGGTAACAGAAAGTCTGCATTAAATGTTCCACGTTGGGTACGTATGTATGTAGACGCTCATGTCGACCACTTCAAGTTTTTAAACGTGTGGCGAATTCATGTGTCCAGGATTTGAAAAATCCACAGTTGTTTCACGCAGAAACGGTGAAGGAACATCTTACCAGGACTGCGCGAAAGAACCGATCGAATATTTTCTCGGCGCAAGACGCAGTTTGTATTCTCCCTTTGTGTCCACCTGACCTGATCTCATTTTATGCCTCGAGGTCATCCTTTACTGTTTCCATCCAAATTCGAGACTTATGGGGTTCCAACGGGGCAAGATTGACCTACAGGAATGTATGGAATTTCAGGATTCCAACTTGGAGGAAGTTGACATTGATTCACGAACCGTTCAACTGGCCTAACTGCTGATACCATAGAAGGAAATTATCTTGTACATGCACTTTTTGCCTGGGTTCTGCAATCCACAAAAGCTCTTGATAGCGACAATGTTTCCAAAAGAAGGCTCTGAATTACTTTTTCTGATCATGTAGCCGAAGTCTTACTATCACCATGGCTCTCCTCATGGGAAGAAGTCTCTTCTTTGTGTGATGAACTCGGTCTTGATGAGTCCTCATTTCCAGAGGCGTTTTTGCTCTTATCCTTACTGGACGGTCTCGTATAAGTTTTTCAGGCTCTCAAAGGTTCACGAGACAACGGATGAACGAAAAGTAGCCAGGAAACATATAGATATATCGGATTACTGAGTAATGACCATCAGAGTCATTTAAAAGACTCAACATGGCAGACATTCTGATTGGTACAACAAAACATACCCAGAAATGTCAACTAATGACAAGAGAAGAGACCAAAGCTCAACGAAGTACAGATGAATGGGACACGTAATAACAAAAACTGATATACTGAATTCTACAAAGCGCTATTCTGTCTCACTGGTATAGTTGAACAGATGCGATCTCCTATGACGTTGGTAGACGAGAAACCCAAAAGAAATGTCATCGAGAGTCAATGATATTGAAAACGAGGAAGGGCGTATCAAAAATTACTAACCCATTCTGCATTGGAGAAATTTGACGGGTCTTTCATTGCTTCGGCACAACTTCCCGAACAACCTGAAGAACCGAAGGCGCCTCCTGCCCAATCACCACAAACAGTCTAAAAGCAATACAAACAGGTCAGAAGTGAAGAGATTTAAGAGTAGATAAATTGATATTGTTTCAAAGATACACGTACTATATCAAATACTATTCTGTGTTGACCAAATTGATCTCGCAAAGCTCCACAATGCGTACTATCCCAATGGGCTGCCGGTTGGCTCCATTTTTCTGGATTAGGTTGCTTGCTGCTGATGTCATCCGGAATGGATGTACGAGAAAAGCGCCATATTGAGATCCCACTTGACTTCCACTCCATTGCAAATACACCACCTCCAGCGTTATTGAAACCTTCTCCATATGACTCCGAGTTTGAATCACCTACACCACATCCCGCGTTTTCTGATGCAAAAAGGGATAATCAGTTCTCGCATTCAATAATGAATCCATAAATTACTAGGCAGAGTATCTTACGGTTAGCAGTAACGTCGCAATTGGTGTCGTAAACTTGCCCTGTAGCATTTGCACCCATAGTTTTCATTATAGAGCAACCTGCTGATGTATGAACTTTGTATAGCACCGAGCACCCAAAAATTTCCAAAAAGACGTCAATTCCAATATCACAAAGCAGTGTTACGATGTCTTTAACTAACGGGTCATTTGATTTTTGTCGAGCATGTTAACCCCTTCCACGATATCTATCTCACCTTGATTCGGCCAATCTTCGCCAACAGTCCAAACTGAAATAAAATGTTTAATCATCAAATCCTTCGACCAATAATTACACTCGAAAAAACGTACAAGCAGGCCAAGTTGAGCATCCATACGGCATCCGTATGGCATCTAGGATCAGAAGCCCATACTTGAACTGAGCCTTGCTGGTTATCCTGACGCTCTTACGATTCTGGCCATCTCCTAACCAGCTGGTTGAATCCACTTTCATACGCGCGGTCAGAGGATAATTTGCTATCGCAGTAGAAGCTTTACCCTTGAGAGTGCTAGACAGAGTGTTTTGGCCGAGAGATACGAGTCCGGATTTCCAGGCGGAGTCTGCAGGCTGATACGCCACCAGTCCATGTGTTGGATCGGCTACAAAAAATAGGAGAGGTCTTCAGACTTGTGCGGGAAGCGGTAAGAACTTTCTGCGTACAAAGCTGCTTACCGTCAGTGAAAAAGTCCCAGTGGTCAAAGAATGTTTTTCCAGAGCTCTCGCTCTTGAGTTTATACGTAGTAGGGTAGTAACCTGATCCAGATGAGCTGACTCCGACACTAATGCTCGCATTGAGTCCCAATAGCGATCCTTTCTGATGCGTAACTACGCTTGATTTTGTCTTGGATTTATCCGTATGCGCCTGTTGCTGACTTGAGATTGGAGGTGGTATCAGTGAGCTTTCAACGTCTTTCAGTTGAGATGATGCATAGTCTATCAACCCTCTAGTCTTGATGTGTCGAGGATGGACGCGCTTTATGTTTCTGTTGATAGAATGATGAGTTGAAAGAGACTCATCCACTAAGATTGATAGAAAAGGAATCAGGTGAAGGAAATAGCTCGCTATCATGTTTCTTTATTTTCTGAAGTTTGGATTCTGTTGGTCTTTCAAAGATCAATGAAGAAGATGGTATTTGAGTAAAAGCGCTGATGAAGATTGTTGCGATCTCCGGGGGGCACTCGTCAATGGCTCACTTAATCGAATAGACCTTTCATCCAGGTTTGACAAGTGAAAAGGCTGGTGCTACCCTTTCTTTGAAATCGATCTTCCCAGGGAAGGCCGCAAATCCAGCCACTCAGAATTGACAATCGGCCCAGGGAATTCATTTAAACTCATCATGGCCTTCGACGGAATCAAATCAGTACATGCACAATGGTAATAATGATATCGATTCCCAACCTGGAGCGCTTTCTCTTGGCAATATTTTGTACCTGCTCCAGCTGCGTCATCCTTCGTAAGCCATCCTTGCGGTTTGCACGTGCGCAATACCCGGTCGCATGAGCGTCATCGGCACGACGTGACCTATCTCGCCGTGTAATCCTGTGCTGAGCATGAGCGTTTGAGCCTTTGGTCAATGATCCAAGCTTTCGAAATGTTTGTGGACCGTCAACTTGATGATGTCTGCTCAAAACCAACTGCGAGTCGATTTGAGAAGGATACGATCGAATCACCGCTGGACCGAGCTTAACTCAGACTGAAAGTCGTCGCATATTACCACCTCTCCATCGCCTTAGTCACGCGCAGGTACGATAGGAAACCCACAATATTCGCCTCGGATTTGAACTCCTCGATGCGGACATTCCATCGAACTTACCAAAGTCTTTCGCCATTAATTTGATGACGAATGTCCATTGACCTACAGTCAATTTCAATTTCACGAAGCTTGCCGCAAAAGTCGAGCAAATCGATGCACGCCGTTATATCCCCAGAACTATTCAAAGCGGAATTGGATCATCCTAGTACAGCTCGCTCAATTGGGTTCTCCCATGGGCTTAAGCAAAATGCACCAGGCATCCCCTCGGACCCAGTTTGTACTCGGGTTCTGGAGAACCTCGGGATCAGGAATCCCTCGGCCGCGGCAACTAGATTCGTTTCCTCGGATTCGCTCTTTGCGCGTTACCGCGCAAGCAGCGAATCCGCGAATCGCCGCGCAAATGAAGAGAGGACGGAATGAGAGATATGAATTTGCACACGTGAATTACATTGAAATGAAGAGCCGGAGAAACGAGGAAGCGCCGAAGTAAGAATGTACAAAGAAAGCGTTCAAAAAGCAGAGAAACCGTTCAAAAAGTGAAAATGAAAAATGCTGTTTTGATACAAACGTGTGAATCGCGTTCCGAGCCAAGTTGCGTTGAACGACATAGTACTGGCCCCAGTCGGATGAAAATTAAGAGAACCACAAAGCATACCCTGAGTTCTGCGCTGATCAAACCTTGAGAGTGCGGAAAGTTGAGACATGGGAGCGGTTGTCGGCGCGTATGTTTCGGTCGCCGTTGCTTGGCTGGCCTATTCGAACTGTTGTACTTGCGTAGATGTGAAAGAAACGCGTCAGCCTGAACTCGGATGGCGGATAAGTGCTCTACAGTGTGATTGTTGAGCTGTAACGTCATGTTGTCAAAATTCGATTCCGCCGCGATGAGTCGCAATACTTTGTAGAACTCGTTCAGTTCCTCTCGCTTGGTGTACCATGCCAACGGAACAGCGTCAAGCTCGGCCGCGTCCTCAGCTGTGATCACGCTGAAATTGTCCTCACTAGGAACAACTAGGAGCAGCTTTAGGCGAAGCGTTGGGTGGAGCGGACGTGGTGGTGGTCGACCCAGGCTTGGGTTTAGGCGCGTTTGGTGAAGTCGGACCTGATCCCTGTGCCTTTTTGGCCATAGCCTGTAATTTTGCACATGCATCAGCATCAGTGGCTGCTGTGCCGGTCTTGCTATCTCCAGAAGGAGGAGCTCGTCGGATCACCCTATCGATAATGATTCTGAGTGACTTCAAGTTACAATTTCAAGGAAAATTCGAAAAGACTTACGAAGAGCTATCGGACCCAGAGAGAGCGCGGCGAGTCTTGGGAGAGGCAGTAGGACCTCCAGCACCTGATTTGTTACCTTTGATCATCTTGATGATTGCAGCACATAACTTGGATTCGCCTTGAAGCTTGTTATCAGGACTACCACCTGAGCCTGAGCTTGCAGGAGCCTTGTTTTGACGGCTGTTAAAAACATCAAGAGAAAAGGTTTAATGTGATTGAAATGACAAGTTGAGATGCGGGAGGTAAACTTGCGTGGACAAACAATTAGGGCGGTTCAAGTTGAGTTTTGCGAACAACCTGACGGAGAGCCCCGATCTCTTTTTTTAGGGCAGCTAGATCATTAAAATTTGTGTTTGATGTCGCGTGAACGGTCTAAAATTCGCTTTTTATGGCCTTGTAAAAGAAGGTACAACAGCCAGTGCATTTTTTTTCCCAAGCCCAACGTCCTTGTTTCTTGTTTTTTTATCATTTGCACCTTTTTCGTTGCATGAGATGATCGGAAAACAAACATCCATAGCACCGTATCCCATACGGAATTCATCATCTCATCCCCATCCTTTCCCAGCGGCCATCTTTTCATCTTTTTCCATACCATGCCTCGAGTATCCGAACGAGTTTCTGCCATACGTGGCCTCACCAATCTCTATTTGTTCGCCCACACGACTTCAGACTTCCGCATTCCCGGAACAGAACCTGATCCAGACAATCCAACAGATGGCGAAATGATTTTCCGGAACGATTCCATGATGTCAAACTTGACCGATGAGATGTTTGATTTAGAACAGCAGTGGGGAGAACTGCTAGTGCAGGTTACCTCAAGGCGTTACCTTAACGAGCGAATACGCATCCCGCTTCCAACAGCTTTCGACCTGCGAGATATGCTGCGAAGCAGGCGGACAGACTTCAAGCAGGCCATGCGAACCACCCCGGAAGGCTTTCAAGCTCTACTCGAGATGATTCAATCACATCCTATCTTTGTATTGTCTAGTAATAATCCCCAGCCGCCAGTTGCAAAACAACTAGCGATAACCCTTGAGCGTCTAGGAAGCAACGGCAACGGTGCTTCCGTTGGCCGATTTGCCCGCAATTACAAAGTGGGTAGGGGTTCTGTGATCAATTGCAGTAGGCGAGTCATCTCGGCGATTTTGGACGTAGGCGCCCACTACCTTGTTTGGCCCAGTTCAAACCGACGTAAAGCTATTTCGAAAGTACTTGCAAGAGACGGTTTTCCAGGCTGTGTTGGATTTGTAGACGGAACCACGATTCCTTTGTTTCAGCGCCCTGGTAGAGACGGCGAAGTCTTTTTCAACAGGAAGCATTGGTATTCTCTCAACGTACAGGTTGTCTGCGACTGCGACAGAAGGATCACCTACGCTTACGCCGGTTGGCCTGGGTCATGTTGTGACAGCACTGTGTACTCAAAGAGTGAATTGAACAATCATCCGGATAGATACTTTGATAAAGGTAATAGCTTGCTTCCGCGTTTCACAGTTTCAAGAAATCTTCTAACACAAATGTTTTCCTTACTTTAGATGAATACATCGTAGCCGATTCAGCCTACATCCCTTCCGAGACGGTAGTCCCTTCATACAAAGGACAAGCAGCGGAAATCGAGAGGAACAAAGAGTTCAATTGGTGTGTAGCAAAAGCTCGGGTTCGCAACGAGCATTGTATTGGTATTCTCAAATCACGCTGGGCATCACTTCAAGGTTTACGATTGGCCTTGAACAGCCGCGAAGATATGTACCACATTCTCCGATGGATTTGGTGCTGTATCATTTTACATAACATGCTTGCGGATTTGGGCAATGCGTGGGATGAAAATGATTATGATATCATTTTGAGGGAGCCTGGAGACGCTGGAGTTCATCAACGTGGCATTGCAGTTCCAGCCTTAGATGTCATGGAACGAGGCCGGGCTAAACGAGAGGAAGTTCGAGACCACGCAGTTGCCTACAACTGGCAGAGCGGTGGCCTCCCAATCGTCTCTTAAATCTCCTTTTTTTAATCTTTATCATTTTCAACTTTTATTTCTTCAACATTATTATTTTTAACTTTTAAATGTGTACCTTCCGATTGGGTTTCTTTTTGAATTTCTGTCTCTTTCTTTCTCGCTTTGTCATGAAATTTTGTACTGTGTGACTTTGGTAGTTGGCCGTGCAGATTGTGAAATTCAAATCTTTTATTCCACCAAGTAACAGATGCGAGTGGAGCTTCAAATATAGATGTTTGACATTTGAGACTAAACATGTGTGACTTGGCCAAACTGGGAAAGAAGAAAAAAATACATAGGAATGAATTTGCATACATGTTTAACAAAGAGATGATATTGTGAATAACATCACTCGCCAAAGGCTACATAGAGATTTGAGGAAATGAGACGGCATAACGAATTGCTTGATAAAGCGATGAGATAGCAAATAACATCACTCGGAGAAGGTTACAGAGGGGATCGTACAATTCAGATGGCATAGAAAACTATCTTATTGATAGAGTTTAAAAGAAATGGATAAGAAACTACCACTGCAAACAAAAAAGAACCAGATCGAACAGCGAGAAGAACACCTTGATAGCTTAACTACAAGTAAAATCATATGTCTTCTAGATTGAATCATCTATGAAAAACAAGCACGTGAGTAATCAGTAATCACAATCAGTTGAAGTTCAATGCGAGTGATGCGGAAGTGACTTACGCTTTGTCTTCAACAGGATAGATCAGGCGAAGGTAAGCCTCCAGCTCTTGAGGAGTCTTACCTTCTAACACTAATCGCTCACAGAACGCCTTGCGCTCCTTGCGCTCCTCTTGAAGTAAGCGCTTAGACTCCATCTCGCGTTGCTCTTCACGGTCGAGAAAGTATCGCTCCTTGGTCCAGTTCAGGGTTGATTTTCGATCTTCCAATTCAGCTTGAATTCGAGCTTCGTCTACTTGCATGCGAGCTTGATCAAATTGTTGTCGCCATTCTTGAGCTTTCGAGATGACCTCCATTTTGGAATCGTTGGCCTTTTGAATCGCTGAAGCAAGTGCAAATTTGTGATCCTTGACATGGACGTTTGATGGGTCAATCGAAGGGAGTGGGTCCAGTCCTCGGCGAGAAAGAGGTGCGCGGGAAGCATGTGAACCAGTTGCTTTGGTCGCAGAAGCAGAGGCGGTATTGGCAAGACTCGCATCGTTGCCAGAGCTAGAGTCCATTGCTTGTTCCTCGGCAGTGAGGGCGTATTTCCTGGCAGTTTCCTTCTTCGATCTCTTCTTCTTGACGGCAGAGGGACTGACGCCAGAGGGAGCAGGAGGTAAGTCTTTGGAGACATCAGCAACCTGTATGTGATCATTTCGAGTTTTGGGTGTTGGAGGAAGAGAGCTGAATTCGGTCCTTTCGTTGTTTAGGAATTTGCGATAGTGCTTGTTGAGAGGGTCTGGGCTGCCGGGACGTATCAAAGGAGACACTGGCAATGGAGACTTGGATTCAATCCCGAGGACAGCTTTTTCAGCAGGGGCAGATTCGCGAGCGGGGCTTGACAAGGCATTGGGCACCAATAAGCCTGGAATATTGTGTTCATCAAAGAAATAGGTCAATATACAAGGTATTAAGGTATGAAGAAAGAAAACCAAGATTAACCCACCAGAACTAAGACCGGAGCGGTCATGCCCGTCGGTGATGTCCCCATCACTCTCCTTCTTGCCTTCGTCATCAAAACCGCAATCAGATTCGTCTTCGGAGGGTTCCTGATGGCCAATTCCCGAGTCCAGAATTCCAAACGGGTTGACGTTCCCTTTATCACGGAACAGAGCGTCCATTTCTGGGTAACAGGGGCACATCGATTCCAACAACACATCCATGGTGTGAATACCTCGTGAGTGGTGTTTGGCCTCAAGGCCAGCACCAGTCTTGGAGCTGAAGGTTTTGGCGGATTGGTACTTCGCTTTGTACCTGCGCAGGCGTAAAAGAAGAGTTCGGCCAGTGAGGTGCATATCGGTGGAGATATGTCGCTCGTTGTAGTTATTGTTGATTTTGATGGCAAGAGTGTTCAAAATCGTCTTCGGATTCATGGGTAAACCAGTCACCTTGGTTTGACTGCCACCGCCAAATAGAGCGTTGAGGACGTTTGGTTTTGCAAGATAGGCGACAATCGCCTTGTAATCCATCAGATCAAATGGAGGGCTATCGCTGGTTCCACGCTTGTGGTTGCTCGAAGTCGCAACACTCTCGGAACGTTTCTTCGCGGCGATTCGTGATCTTTTGACCGCGGCGGCACTTGGTTTGGACCCAACCACATGGCCGGACAAGGCGAGATCCGCAGCAATTTGGGCCTTGGTTCGACGAGGGCGACGCGCGCTGTTTTGAGATCTTTTGGGAGAAGATCTGGGCGAAGTAGTACGCATCTCAGAAGGAGCTACAAACCAACACAAACGAAAATTCAATGTATAATCAGTATATGAGCAGATAGGCATGAACCAGGGTAATCACATACGTTTCTAGTGCTTGGATGGGAAACGGAATGTTTGAAAATGCTTGAAGTAACTCGAAGTGCGTTCAAAGAGGATGAAACCGGATCGAAGTGCGTTCAAAGAGGATGAAACCGGAGCTAGCAAATTTCAACTGAATAAGATCGAAAAACAAGAAGGATGTGTAGGCCAATCAGTCATTGGGTTAAAGGAGTAAACCCAAACGGGCGAGCAGGAAAAGATAAATGAATTACCACACCAGAGATTGAGAATTCGAGTGAAGAAAGTGAAAGAAGAAATCAATCACGGTGACGAGAGGTGACAGCAACGAAAACGAACAGAGATGATAGCTTATATAAGGAAAGGCGTCGAGTAGCTTACATGAGAAACCGAAGGACTCTTTCCAAGCGGCGGAGAACTTTGTCCGTGCCGTGATCTGATATCCAGAGGGTATGTAGGGTTTTCCGGGGAGTGGGCATGAACCCAGGTGTTATCAATATTGGTGAAGGGTTTTCCGGGGAGCGGGCATGAACCCAGGTGATATCGATATTGGTGATATCGGATATCATCAACCCTGGGCCATACCTGGTGACCAAATCCGGAGACCTCGGGTTCCCAAAGTGATTACCATGTTTGATAACCGTTGAACCAGGCACCAGACGATAAAAAAAGATAAAAAAAAAAACCTTGGCAAAAAAAAAAAACATCGAGGCACAAAGCAAGAGTTAAAAAAAAAACAGGTCCTTTTTTTTTGGCTCTTTTTTTCTGCGAGTAGGCAAACACCATATAATTTTTAAGGCCTAAACTTCGATTGTAAAACCGCGAGCCAGCTCTAGAGCTGGCTCGCGAGCTTAAAATTATACGTATAATTTTAAGGAACCATTCAAAACTTAAATTGAGAATTTGGGTCGTAAACGGCCTACATTATGCTCAGCATGATCAATCTAATCACGGCGGATGCGAGTAGCAGCGGGGGACAAAGTGTTGGTTGCAGCGGCTGGGGATGGCGGGGGTTTAGGTTTAGGCTGGCCTGATCCTTTTGGCTTCTTGTTGTCACGGCTGTTGGAAAAAGTAAGGGAAAAAGTTCAATGTGAATGAAATGGAATGCTTGAAACTTGGAGGTAAACTTACGTGGACAAGGAGTTATGCTCGGCATTATGAATCAGATCACGCCGACTAGGAGCAGCTTCGGTCGCAGCGGCTGGGGGTTTCAATGATGCATCTTTAGTTTTAGGCGGCGGACCTGATCCTGGCGGCTTTTTATTAGCCATCGCAGCCAGCTTTGAACATGGATTTGAGGCAGCAGCTCCTGCTCCAGCCTTGCTGTTGCTTGACTGAGGAGCTCGACGAGTCAAACTATGGGTAAAAAGTCTGAGTCAGTTTGAATTACACTTTCAAGCACCTTGGTAGGAATTCTTTCAGGAGTTCGAGTAGACTTACTGGGAGTCATCGGACCCAGGGAAATGGCAGCCAATCGTGAATGTTGGCTGCAAAAGGGAAGTTGTGGATTCCGGTCTTGATTACTGTTGATGATGAAGAGCCCTTCGCCTGGATGGCTTCGTACGGACCTGCCCTCGACGCTGATGTCTTCCCATTTTTTGTCGGTGCCATGTCTCTATTGCAGATTAGGACACCAAGCAGAGCGATGAATTACGAAATACGGCAAAGGTTGTCGGCCATTGAGTAGAGCGCTGACCAAGCGGAGCAAAAGTTCAGAAATACGGCAAAGGTCATCGTCCAGTGAAAGGAGAAGATGAATTATCTTAGCAACAATCCACAATCACGGCAGTGTTTCGCTCGAAATGACAAACCCCCCTAGCTTTTCTGGAACTTACACTGATTGAGCGCAATGGGTCACCCTTCCCTCCTCTGCATTGGGATTCCGCGGCTCAGCATCCCTCCTTGTCGCCCCTGCTTTTTCAAGATCAGATCCTGCCGTCATTGCGGTATCGTCCCGATTTGAATCCACCACCCCAATTCTTCTTGCCTCACAGCGCCATTTGCGACGTCCATGCTTTCGACAAACTTGTCAATTGCGCTCAGCCTTCAGGAACCATTGCTAAACCCGCGACGCTACGCTGACTGATGTGCGTCGGGTCACCACGGAGTAATCAACTCCGCTTTGAGACATCACAGGAAATTGTAGACGACGGATTTGTGTCAAACCCGTCGGACTTCAAATTTCGATTGCAGTATCCTCACGGCCCAAATTCACAATTCACTTCTCGCACAGGAATCAGGCGTCGCATTCCCGAGCCCCATACTGAAAAGTTCTGGGGATATAACGCCAGGCCAAATCAATAGTGAAATTCGTGTCAATCTTGATGAAACCTGCTACACTCTCATCTCTATATCATCAGGCTAAGAGCATCCCCACCGCGGCTGGAACCGTAAACTTGATACAGCTGTCCAAATTGACAGACGGGCAGCTTTATCTCATCTGCAGCCAGCCTTGCCAGCACCGCGCGAGCTGGATATCGCTTTTGCGGTTCTACCTCTGTCATGAATGACAGTTTCGTCGGATTGCAACTTCTGGAAAAATCCAGTATCTTGGCCGATCACTCGCTCGGACAATCAAGTGGTGGTAATTGTCATCCAAGATAGTACACACTGCGACCAACTAAGGTCTGCGTGTGAAGCTGGAATGTCCAAAGTATGGGAAAACAAGTTTTCCGGAGTTTTCAGCTCAACTAGCAACAACTCGAAGATTTCTTACGTTTCCAAAATTTTTGGAAACATAAGCTGACACCTGTGGCCAGGTGTGGGACTATTTGGACGCGGTGGAGGGCGTCTGGCTGGAAACGTAATGTTGAATTTACGTTTATGTCAGAAACGTTACGTTTCCGGCGGCGCGGTGGGGATGCTCTAACTCCTTGATCAGGCTTTGATGATGGAAAAGCGCTTGGCGTGGTCGAAGTATGTAAGCAGATTCAACCTTGCAATCGGCTGATGATTGTATGCACGCCAAGTGGCGCGAGAATCATCGCGGGCGCGTAACATCACGTATGACTGATGCCATTCGAATACATACCAGCAGAGAATCAGCAGTACGTACGCGACATTCTTGAGCAGAGTCAGTCATGAACATGATTCATGGAAGTTGGAACAGGTGTTACCATTTGTGACCTCTCATTCGGGTCCTGGACCATCAAAGATCGAGTTATAGAAAATCAAAAAGTTCAGCCTTGATTTCAACGTTTAGTTGCGAAGAATTGTCTTCAACTTATCCCATTTGGTTCCCGTATACTGATTTACGCAAAACCACATCTTAATTATGATCCCCGAGAGACACCTCATTTTGGATTGCAAAGATCTCCAAACAATTTCTAATACAGAGAGCATCCAGACTTGAGAGACAATAGGTATCCTCCACGACAACCCACACTATATGAGACAAACTACAGTTTTTTAAAAGAACAATGATTTAAAACGTGACAAGACGAGACATCTAAGAAATTGGGAGTCTCCTGCCCGTCTGCAAACAGCCTCCATAAGAACTCTTCTTTCGTGTTTTGAACCCGATAAACTAGAGGAGATAAAAGAGAAACTTCAACCTTAGATCCTTTTTTCTCCTGAGTTTGTAAGTTGATTATCAACCCCTTCTGCATCAGTCTTATCATTTCCAGTCTGTTGGGACGGATCTTCAGTGGTAGAATCTTCTGGTTTCGAAGGATCTTCGGTAACAGTCTGTTCTGTTTTGGTTTGACTTTCAGCTTTGAGGTCTAGCTCCAAGTCTAGTTTATCAAAAGCTTGCTGGTTGAAACCACCAGCACTTTCTACATCTTCTCGTAGACAAATTCCGTATTTCATGTAGACGTCGACAATTGATTGAGTATAAGTGGTGATCTTTTTCAAGGATTCTACGATAGCAGAGAGTGAAGTGAAAAGGGAATCAGTTCATCTTCGTGTTTTGGGAGTTATTCAACGTACCATGGCACCCATTTTCTACGTCAGGGTATGTGGAAAGGACTGTGACAATTGAACTGTAGGACGCAATAATCTTGACTACTAATGACTTGTGAGTTGTCTAAAGAATTCAACTCGCAAGACGTTTTTGTCAATTTTCAAAATTGATTAAGTCCAGGCACTTCAAGAGATACTCACCGCAGTGTTAGCGTCAAAGGTAGATTGTTGAGTGGTTTCTTCCACCGCTTTGATAGATGTCTCAAGTACACTCATGGAGCTGTAGATGGTTGTGGTATCATGCTTGTCACAGCTTGATTGAACCACTTCAACGGTCTTGGTGTACGTCTCGCTAGATTGTTGGAAGATAACGTCGGTGCTCTTGGTCCCTTCGGTATTTGTGGGATATGAGGAACCCCCATCATCGCGACGCATGAGGAATCTGTGTCCCAAAGACGACCCTACTGAAAGAGCTAGAGAGGAGTAAAGAAAATCAAAAAGTTGTTATGAGCTGTTTCTAATGATGAAGTGTTTGATAATGAAGATTCAAACTAACCAGCCACAGTCAAGGACCCGAAAACAGTTGAATATTTCATCTTGCACTAAATAATGTTATGTATAGTCGTGGTTATCAAAGATAGACTGGCCCTAGGATGGGTGAAAAGTAGTGAATACGTGAAGGAATGAAAAAGTGCGATGGTTGGGAAACCCCAAGAGTGCTCAGATGCCGGCTCTTTATATTCATCAGTTCACGGGCGAGTACTCCATGATTGTGAGCTATGTAGAGGCAAGAAGCGTTCGTCACCAAGTTTCAAAGTATGCTCGCACTGCAGTTTCAAAGTCTTCCAGCATCGCCACCATGTAGTCACGTATCACAGCTCAGGGACATCGCGATTTGAAACTGCGGCAAGCGATCGGCAAAAGTGATCAAGGTGGTTTGTTATTGGAAATCCTCCAGAACATCCCTCCTTGTTTCACTAACCATACTCAAACACTTACGACCACAGCTCACAGGCTCATCGAGTTAACGCACTGGAGGGAAAGGCTTGGGAGGCAGTAAAATTCTGCCAAATCTTAATTGACGCCTTGGTTTTTGTAGCAAGAAGAGGTGGATCTCCTTTTCCATATTCGTATCCACCATTCAAGGGTTTAACAGCTGAACGAGTTGTCAGGGAGATATGCGTGACTCATTCACAAGCGGTGGATAGCATTTTGTTCTAATTTTTTACTAGTTTCAGCATCTCGGACTCATACGTAGCTGCTCGTGGGGCAGTGAAATCAGCAAGTCCAGCCGCTTGGAAGAATAGCTTCGTAAGATTGACCCCATATACCCGCAAGAGAAGAGGAGAAGACAGTGACTTTGTAAACTTAGACCTATTGAATCATGAGAATTTCAGCGGAAAAATCACCACATAGAACAAGAATTTTGATTAAAAGATGCCAGTCTCGCATGAAATACTGCCAGACTCAGTATGGCCTTGAGTAACTCAATATGATCATGGTCTATACTGCTTGTTCTAATCTGATCAAAAAAATTGGTTGGAACTCTCTCTATATATTTCACTGTTATTGTGTTGAAAAGGACCCGAGCAAGAAGATGTTGCCAAATATCAATGCGGCGCAATGAGATGAAAGTGATAAAATGATCAGGAAACTGGGCTCATTTGTTGCACAGGCTGTGGAATAAGGGAATGCATACCAAGATCAGTTTCTTGGGATGAATTACAGGGCTCTCAAAGGAATATCACCTTCAGTTCATCTATTCTTTTTTGGGTGGATCAGATTCCACAGATGATGATTGTTTGTTGAATTTGAATAAAACTCTAGGAATTGAAGAAGTGGTGAGGTGCCAAACTTGGTCTCTGATTGATCAAGAAAATCTCTCATCATCATACATGTCTTCTTGAAGTCCTTTACGACCAAATCTTCTATATACCTCTGTAAAGTTCTTGTATCCTCAGTTCCTTCAATGATTGGGAAGATATCAACATCTTTGAAAATAAAAAACATACATTAGTTTGATACTTATCTTTGACAGATAAGAGTTCACTCACTGCTTGACCAGAACTTGATGACCTTGATTTGATCCATTGGTGCCATATTTTCAGGTATCTCTGATTGGTAGGGAACCATGTACCTTTGTGTGCAAATGAATTCTTTGATATCCCTGAAAATTTAATTTATAAAAGTATCAACAAGACAGAAACCATCAACCTTATCCGTATAATGCAGGATACTGGCCCTTCTTTATCCAAAGATTTGATATAACCTATCACAGTCTCTGAATGTTTTCTCAAGTGTGCATAAGCTCAATCCATGAAATTGCCTGGAACATCCAGATACTCCAGCTTGATGGTTTTGATCACACTAATCATTCTGGTTAGCATAAATTGAGTTTCTAAGACAAGTTGTAGGTTTGGCTTTGCTTGAACCAGTAGGTAAAGGTCCATTCCATCTTGTCAAAGTTTTTAACTATTTCAACATCAAAAAGAACCACATGAAAAAGAGGTCTGTTATATGTCAGGACAGCTCACCAGTTATCCAGAACTGAAAAAGTGCCTTTTGATCTGCTGGTGACCAATCACCAACTAAGCTTATACCATATTCCCCTAATCCTTTTTGGAAGGCTGAAAAGTTAATGATGTTTCTGAAATGATCATGATCATTTACAATTCTAGTGGTAAGATTCAAGAATGATGATCAATTATTAAGTCCATTTAGTTGGTCACTCACCTTCCAGATGCTAGTCTCTCAATAGATTCAATACATCTTGATTTGTTGAGAGCAATGGTTTTCTTCAACCAATACCACCAGTCAGAATCATAAAATTCAATTGAATCACTGATAATTTTTCTCATCTCAAATAACTCAAATTGAATCACTTGTAAAACTTTGAATGGTGTATCCTTTGATAAAAGAAATTGACATAAGCCTGCAAAGAAAGCTTTTTTCTTTGATACATTCTTGAATGGTTCATCTGAATGTGTTTCTCTACATAATTTGACAAGTCTTGAATCCCAGCTGTCTTTGGGTGATAATAGGATTTCATTCATTTCTGTTATGATCTCAGGACAGTACAATGTCCGAGTTTCCCATCTGTATTTCATGTGTTCGTTACCTATCAAAAAGATCAACCTGAACATCAATGCCTATTTTTGTTGAAGTCAATGTCTAAGAAGCTTGTAGTAAATTTACCTTTTCTCCAAAATTTGGTGATCTCATCAGACTGTGACTGTGTTAATTCAGTTGATGGCATAATCAATTTAGAGAAATCATTCCAATTTATCTCATGTCCTACAAAAGGTGATGTGTTGACTGATTCACCAATAAAAGGAAATAGGGTAAGTTGGAATAAGATACCTTGCAGGAGGCAACTTTCAACAAGCAATCAAACAATATGGAAACCTACCTAATCTAGGTGAACTTGAAATAGATGGTATTTGTTTCTTCTTCAAATAGATGCATCCAGCTTGGATGGTGTTAGTAGGGTGATTAGAGTGTAGGACCAATTGCATTAGGATGAACCAATGAATTTCCATCTTTGTTCTATTGTTTTCTATGGTTCCTGTGATGGATCAATCATGTTACATTGAAATGGGAACATCCACAATCTTGAATCAAGTGAACAAGCGAATGAACAAAACTTTGAACTCTTCACATCCTGTAATCATACAAAATCTGGTGGATACCAACTCTTAATCTCTGAGTGTCATATTTGGAGAGTTACATCTGCTTGAACCGTCTGCATTCAATAACAAGAATATGAGATGCAACATGGAGGTACTAGGGGATTGTTCCAAGTGGAAGTTCAAAGAAAGCGGAGAATGATCTTATGTTAGAGCCTTTTGAAATTTATTGAGTCAATTCCATCATATCTTTTGGTCAGAAAGGAAGTGATTTTGCCACTTTTGTACCTATATCATCTCCAAAATCAGGATAGAGTGGCCTTCCAGACAGTATGAGTACAAATTATTGTGTATGCTATATTGACTCCTAGCCAACCTTTTTCATTGCACAACTCACCCACTCTGCAATATGGGCTTCAAGATGTTTGTGAATTTCCCAGGATTATTAGATTTCTGGTGTTAAATCTATTTCCCCATAACAGCCTTCCAGTTTTAAGATTGTTCATGTCTGGGTGTAAAGCAAGAGTTCAGGTTTCAGAGATCTTACAACTAAGATGTATTTGTGGAGAAATAATGTTCATGTGTCAGACTTTCAACACCTGGGAGCCAGAATTGGTGGGAGAGTCCCAGTGGTTAAGTAAAAGACCCATTTGTTTAGGCATCAGATAAAGATCTGAGTGTCAATTTACTCAGGAGTGGCCAGCACCTGGAATGGGAGACCACTGACACCGCGGGAATCATTATGTTTGAGACCTGATTGAGCAAATTTGTGGTGTCCAAGTCCGCAATAAGTCTCAATTTTTGGATTGAAACCTATTAAAGGCAAGGGGGGGACCTTGGAATTTAATAGGTTTCAATCCAAATTTGAGACTTATTGTGAACTCTGTCGCCACGTCAAGTTTCACATATGATTGAACCTAATAGATGCCCGTGGTGTGATGTTAGACACAAAGATATGAGTGCACAAGATGCAAAATTGAGTAGATGAACAAGTCAAGAGAAACATGAGTGTCCAGAGAAGCTTCTTTTGCTGAGACATCTTGACAATAAAATTCTGAACCTTTCATCCAACATATAATGGAATGGTTGTAACTATGTACTCATGAAGTCACGCACTGGTGTTGACAGCTTTGCCTTGACTCCCACATAAGGCCTGCACCCGGCCCGGCCCGGACGGGCTTTTCCCGGCCCGCCATCCGCTCGCGGGAACTTTGGGCGGGCCACGGGCTGCCCGGTATCGTCATTAAGTAATAAAAAAAAAAAATCAACTCGATCAAAACAACCCAAAAACTACTTTAAAAAATTTGTTCTATTGGATTGCTTGTATATCAGCCTGGAAAAAACACAAATTGCGCCGAAAAAATGAACCAGGCCTCCTTTGGGACACTTTTGGCCCGTCTAGCCCGGCGGGCCAGCCCGTCGACGGGCTGGAGCGCGAACCGCTCACGGGCCTCACTTCCTGTTTGAGTCATTCGGGCTTAGCCCGGCCCGGCTCGCCCGGCGGGCCGGGTGCAGGCCTTACTCCCGCGGGTCCATGTCCGAATACCCGTACTGACTCTCGGATCGGGATAACTATGGAAAGACACGTGACGTTGAAAAATCTCGATATAAGCAAGTCAAACCTTTGTGTAAATGTCTGTAGATATGCTTATACCACAACCAACCTCAGGTATGAAAAAAGTTCCAATCGAGTCAAAAAATCGAAAACACCTTCAAAAAGAAACGTTGCTATACCTCCACAAACTTTGTTTGAAAACATTTTAAATCGAATTCGAATCAAAACCAAGATCATAAAGCAAGAAAAATGCAATCAGATGACGTAGTATGGGGTATAATGTAAGTCACCATCTCTGATTTTTCCCAAACCAAAAAAAAAAAAACCCAAAAAACCCTCAACGTTTTGATTAATTTTTTGATTCTAATGTTTTGATTTGTTATAGAAATCATCAATTTTGTTCATATAAAATTAAAGCAGTACAAGGAGGAGGAGAATCACATAATAGAACAGTTTCATCAAGTTTTTGTAAAAATGAATATAATTTAACTGGACTTTGTAATAAAGCTTCTTGTCCATTAGCTAATTCAAGATATGCAACTGTAAGAGAAATCGATGGTGAATTAATCTTCTTCTTCTCTATCTCTCTATTTGAATAAATCGATTTCTGATCAAGTTTGTATGATTTTCTGGGTGGTGGGTTTTTGTAAAATTTGATAGGTATGGTTTATTTATTTCAAAAAACTGTAGAAAGATCTCATTCTCCAGCAAACCTTTGGGAAAAAACTAAACTTTCAACTAATTATGCAAAAGCATTAGAACAAGTGAATGGATTTTATTTTCCTACTTAAAAATGGTTTATCTCTTTCAAAATTGATCGTTAACGTTTTTTTTTCGTCTTTTTTTTTCTTTTCGGTTTGGATTGGTTTTTAGATTGATAGTTCTTTGATTTATTGGCCTGATTATATGATTCATAGATGTAAACAAAGGTTAACCAAGATCACACAATACTTAATCAAGATCCGTAGACTAAGAACTCGTGAAACGTAAGTCTTTTTGCCCATCCAAAAACCCACCACTCCTACCTCCAAAGTCTAACCCCAAAAACCCCACTGGATTCGATTGAAAACCCTAAGTCCTCAATTGGTACCTATCAATAATAAGACCGAAAGACGAGAAAAAGCACGAGAATCCAAAGCATTATCAGCAGCCAGACTAACCAAAACCTTAGAAAAAGAATTAATATCAAGATTAAAATCTAAATCGTATGGAGATTTACCATTAAATGTGAATGAATCGATTTGGAAATCAGTACTAGAAAACGAAAAGACTGAAACCGAATTAGAAATCGAATTAAAAGATGAAATGACAGATGAAGATGGATCAGGTGAAGATGAAGAAGAAGAAGAATTCGAAAGAGAATTCGTTAGTGATTTTGAGGAAAGTGATGAGGATGAAGATGATTTAGAAGATTGGAATGGAGTTCAGTCCTTTTTGACTTTGACTTTTCTTTATTTCTTTCGTTTCTGACGATTCTGGTTTTTGGTTTTGTGCATATAGCTTGATTCCAAAGATGGAAGTTCAGATGATGAAGATAGTATAGATGAAAAAGGTTTAGATTTGAATATCTCAAATCAACCTCCAATCAACAAAAGAAAAGCTAAAGAACAAGGTACAAGTTCTAAGAAAACTGATTTAAAGAAAAAGAAAAGATCCAAGATTGAAATCGAATACGAAGAAGAAACGGTATCAGGTTTAAAAAATTAAATTTCTGAGTTTTGAAGATTTAGTGAAGATTCGAGAATCGATTCTGTTGACCGTTTATGGGGTTTTTGATGGTTTTATGACTTAGTTGATGATGATTTTATAATTGAATGTTTCTCTTTCTTTGGTTTTTCTTACTTGTGATCTCTCTTTCTCGTGACCGTTGGTTTCTTTCATTCCAATTCCAGTTTCGAATTCAGCTTTTGACTCTCGCTCGTAAGAGGACACTGAAGAGAACTCCGTGATAAAGATCACAATTCTCACATTTCACTTGTCATAATGTGAAAGATGATCAAAATGCATAAATTCCCAAACTCGAGTAAGCTAAAACAAATTCAGGACACTAAACAAGAGAGACAGAGAGAGACAAGTCCAAATGTATGCCAATAAAAGGAAAAGAGAAAACATTTTTTTGTGATGGTTTATGGACTTATCTTGGGGAGAAAAAAAGTATGAAAAATATAAAGAAAATTACTTTACATAGATAATTCAATCAAGAGAGGAAAGAGAAAAAGAAAGCAGAAGAATGGTTTATTCTGGTTTAGCAGTAGTAGTAGTAGTATCGATTGGTTTTTCCAAGTTTGATACTTGATCATTAGTTAAGATTTGGATACCAGGTTGAGCAAAAACCTATCAAAAAATTTAATGAATACCAAAAACTTTAATGATCTGTTTATAAAACTTTGCTTTTTTTGATCGTCAAGAATAGGTAAAACGTGACTCAACTGGAGGAGTACCACTGGTCAATTGAGCAGAACTTGAAACATTTTCGGGTTTTCCTAATTGTTCAGTGTTTGAGGTTTGAATACCAGGTTGAGCAAAAACCTAATGTAAAAAAAATTGTGACGATTGGTCAACAAGGAATCTTTAGATTCGAAAGGTCAATAGGATCAAATTTACAGGTGGATTTCCTTCAGTTAATTGAGCGGAACTTGAGAGGTTTTCTTGTTTTGGTGGCACTTGATCATTATCCAGGATTTGAATACCTGGTTGAGCAAATACCTTTGTGAAAAAGAAATAAACATCGTTTTAGTAAAACAAGAAGTCATTTGAAGATTGAGAATTCTAGATTGGATTTTTAACAAACTGGTGGATTCGTATCGGTTAATTGAGCAGAACTAGATAGATCTTGATTCCAGTTATTCTTCAAATCCTTTGGATCATTGGTGGTAGCTGGAACTATTTTATTATCAAGAAAAGATAATGATGAGAAGGTGTGAGTGAAAGGTTCAGATGGTAAAGAGCTTTAAGATGATAAAGAAATTGGTTTTGGTTTTTTGTTGACTTACATGGTTGGATCGTTAAGTTGGACTCGGATTTATCGTCTTTTGAATTTGACATTTGTGCACCACCTTCTTCGAAAGTCTAGAACGTTGTTGAATCGTTTGTTGATTAGTTCTTGGTCAATGATGAAGAGGTTAATAGAATTGTGACGAACGGGTGGATTGGGATCAGTTGTTTGAGCAGAACTAGATAGATCTTCATTCAAGTTAGGGTTCTTATTCAAGTCATTCGGGTCATTCGTCTTTGCAGGAACTATGTGGTTTGCCAAAAAAGGAAAGTATATGGTTTAGATGCTTGTATCGATTGAAGGTAAATGATAACGTACATGGTTGGATGTTTAAGTTTGAATTATCGTTATTTGACATCTTGTTTTGATCTGATTCTGTTGATCGTTGTCTATTGATATGAAAAGTGGTTTGAATGGGTTTCCTAATTACAAAAAGGAATAAGATGTAAAAGTAAATCGAATGACTAAACTTGTTCTTTTTGTTGATCGATAACACTTTATGAATCCACTCAGTTAGTTTCTGTGAAAGGGAGAAAGAGTTAGAGATGAGTTTCAAAGGAGGGGATGTCTTTTGAGAATAGGAAATGAACTCAACTGGCATGATGTTTGATTAAGAGAGATCGAGTGAGATAGTCAAATAAATTCGGGAAAAATTAAATTTAAATTGTTGATGCGATGTGATGCTGAGAAGGGTTGCGACAAAGACGGAGAGTTTGATGCAAAGTTATTCAATCCAAACCTTTTACAAAAGAGAAGATTGGTTTGTCAGATACAAATATATGAGAAGATGGCTGTGCAAGGTTCAGTTTCTCTATCGGTATTTAAAGACTTGAATATCTTCTTAAAACAAATGATGTGAATCAAATGACCTCATTTGACTCATCGATCGAACCCCCCCCCAAAAAAAAGGTGGGGAAAAGTAGGGAAAATTGAACCCGTTTTAGGATTTAGGAGAATTCTATCAAGAATTCATACGTTGGAAATTCAGTTTAATAATTCCAAATCCAATCAAATTCGAATTTATTCTCGAAAAGAACACTTCTTTATGTATGAGTCTTGTAAGGATATGAATATCTTGAAACAAAAGTACAGAGTCCAACCAAGGATGAACAAAGAAACATCTTAAATAATGCATTTCGTTCACAGAAAGAACAAGAAATTCTTAGTGACTGTGGAGGATGTCCTGCTTCAAGTTGTTAGCTCGGCGCAAAACTTCAAGAAGAACGCGCTTGGGCCTTAAACTTTCGATTTGGCGTAGCACCTTTTCCAGGATGGGCCTGAGGGTGATTGAATGCCTTGAACCTTGATTTGTTTGTTCAAAACTCCGTCTGAGATGACTTCATTGGCCTCATCCACCTCGATATCCTTACCAAACCACCAAGTCTTCATTCCACTATGTCTAACACAGTCTTGCGGCCAATGAAGAGGTCTGATTAATGAGGGTTTTTACAACAGAGGCCTGGATTGTGATCGTTTTAGACGGTGATTTCTGCCTTGAATCTCTTTCCGACTTCCTGAATCCTAAACAAGAATTGAAGCATTACAAGTTAGAAATGAAGACTGAAAAAGTCTCTTCAAGCACAGATTGAGAAATTAGTCTTTCCAAGTCGATCAAGAAGGAATTTAAAAAAGAATTTTGAATGCTTTTGGTCAATTTTCTTCCGAGAGGTGACCTTGTTAGGTTTTACCCCATTTTACATATTGGACCATGCGTCCTCATTTGATTGTTCTTCTCAGACTTGCCCATGCCTTCCAAGTTCCAACACTTCAAGTGCCACCAATGCCAATGCCCTGAAATCAGAATGTGGTTCAACTATTAAGCCCACACTGCTTTGGATTTCACTTCGTATGGATCTCCTTCAGCATACATAGTCTCCCTTGAACGAACTTTTTGACGGATTTTTCCTTTCTGCTTTTCAATCTCGGGTCAAATCTACAAGACTATTCTCCATTTGTATACGGTACCCAAAATGCTCAAAATCTTTCTTAAGATTTCACTCTTACTGTTTTCCATATGGATTCATAATTCAAACGTTTTGGCCGAAAAAACTTTCTCTGCAGCTTGTCGCAGACAGTTCACAATAGTCAATGGCAAGGGAGGTAAGTACATCCAATCAATTTATTCTACATTGACTTCATAAGTTTATCAAACTCTGCACTTCGAGTCTACTGGCTGACTCGACTTACTTTTTGTCATATTACAAAAGTTTGCGTTCAGGCAAGCCCTGATGACCATCAATATTCGTGTGTTGTAGATTCTTGCCATGAGCGTGTAGGTGATCTTAGTAAGCATTTCAGAGAACCTCATCTTGACTAACTTTTTCCGTATCTATGTAAGTTTCACCGTGAATCTGATTAACAAAAATCCACTTCGTATTGTATCTTATCTAAATCAGGTTATAACTACGTAGAAATGACTGCTTGTACTCACGATGGATCTGTGAATAAAGGACAAAGTAAACAAAACTGTGCTCAATACCAATTCATGCACAATAATAACGGAGGCTATTTCAGTCAGTATCTCTGATTTCTTTCATATCATTTCATTTATACTTGAAAGACTATCTTAATTGAAGTTTTCTGATATCTTTTTTTTACAAATTTGATTTACTCACTTATAGCTTGTACTAACCCTGCGGGTTATCATTATACGTGTGAACGTAATCAACACAATATTTATAGACAGCTGAGTTAGTTGAGAGTTTCTCTTCTTATTTACTTTGTGAAGGAGAAAACTAACTTGAGTGAAAAATGGATTTCAATTTCTTTAGCATGTTCCAAATGCACAAAATAGTAGATCATCAAAGTGAACAGATCACTGTCTCTTTGTGATTTTTGTAAGTGGAATCAAGAATCGTGAAGGAAAACCTCTTTGATTAATTAGATCAAGTCGATTTCTATGGCTTTGAGACTCTGGTGTTTTGAATCTTGTCAAACCAGAGACCTTTATATGAAACTTTTTAAAATATCTTGTGAAACATCTATTGCAAAGAAAAACATTTTCACTTATTGACTTTTTTCATCCTTCTAACACATGACAAACGTGATACTTGAAATCAACAAACTCGTGATTATTTTGATTGTACAACTTCACAGAAGGATGTGAAGAAATGAAGTGGTAGATGACTTAAACATCAAACTGTATATCTTTTACTTACCCCTTTCTGATCACGTTAGATCACTTTGGGGCTGAGGCCAGTATCTCAAGGGCCTCCCTCGGAATCGGATCCCAGTGAGGAGAGGGTGAGCCGCACGGAGGCTTGTGTTACATTTCAGACATCGACTTCAGCCTTGAATCTTTTTCGGACTATTCAACATGACTATTGAGTCTAGATCAGAGTATTGCCAGTTGGACATGAGAGCAAGACGCTAGCCCAAGAAAATATTGATGGATGGGGGACTGTTTACAGGTGAATCAAGCAAGCAAGGCTTGTGAAAAAATCTTCTGTGTGTTTTCGTCAATTCTCTTCCAAAAGCCGACCTTGTGAAGTTTACCCCATTCCATACCATACGTCCCATTTTAATTGTTCTTCTCAAACTTGCCCATGTCTTCTAACACTTCAGTGCCATCAATGCAAAAGCCTCGAAATCAGAAATTAGTTCTATTAGACCCCTGCTTTGACTCGAAGAGGACATTTCTATGAGAACTCACGTCGTGTGGGTCTTTTTCGGCATAGTTTTCCCTTGAACAAACTTCTTGACTCATTTTTCCTTCCGGCATTTCAACCTCGGGTCAAATTATCAAAATTCTTCTCATATATTTGCAGTATCCAAAATGCTAAAATTCTTCATTAAGATTTCACTTTTACTGTTTTCTTTATGGATTCATGATTCAAAGGTTTTGGCTGGAGACACTTTCACTGCTGTGTGTCTCAGAGAGTTCCAGATAGTAGATGGCAAGGGAGGTAAGTAAATTCAATCACATCATTCTATTGACTTGGTAACTTTAGGCATAATCTGAAACCCTACTGTCTAACTCGAACTAATCTTTGTAACCAATCACATTACAAGTCTGCCTCCAGGCATACCCTGATCAACATGAATATTCATGCGATGTGAAGTCTTGCTATGATGGAGCAAGCAGCAGTAAGCATTTCACAACACCTACTCTTGACCGATCTTTAGTTTTCAAAGTTATAGTTAAGCCAATTAACGAAGATCTATATTGGATTCTATCTCATCTTAGATCATTACGTTCAGATGAAGGATTGTACTCACAACGGATCTAATGATAAAGGTCGAAGTACACAAGATTGTGCTCAATATAAATCTATGCTTCAAGCTGGATTCAGTTAGTATTTCTAAGTTTTGTTTCATTTCATTTTTGATCGGAAGGTGATGTTGATCAAGTGTTTCTATTACCTTTTCCCACAAACTTGTTCTGTTAAAAATAGGTTGTACAAACACTAACGGGTTTCACTATACTTGTCCTTTTCGCGAAAATACTTTCCAAAAGCTGAGTCAGTCAAGATTTTTTTTTCTTATCTACTCTTGTAAAAGAGAAAACTCACTTGACTGAAACAATTCATCTTGCAGCGTGTTCTAGCTGCACAAAATAATTTATCGTCAAAGAGACAAGAATTCTGATGGTTTAGATATTTAGAAACTTATCTACCTACGTTAAAGGATCAAAAAGAACAAAAACAGCTCTTGAATTGATCAAGATTAAAGTAGATTTTCTTAAACACTCTGGAAACTTGAGCGTTGGTATCCTGAAATCAGAGAAATCTTTCTGAACCTTTCAAAGGAGGCTGAAATAACTATTGCAACAAAAACTATTTTCTCATATGGAATTTGTGTCATCATTCTTGCGCACATAGCCAATTGAATCCACCTGAATTTGAAAAGAAACTTGCTATTTTTTTGCTTGTACCGACTCCATACAAGGATAAGTGCTCTATATTTTGTTCAAAGCTTGTGTTCTTTAGTAAAAAAATCATTCTTATTCAATCATTACCGACTTCGAACGGCAAAAATCATATATAATTTTCTTCTCAGAATCGAGTTACAAAATGAGACCCCTACATTTTGAAGTTGAACCTGTACTTTATGACACGAAAAGGGTTGCATTTTGGAAGTCTCGGACCACTTCAAAGGGCCAATTGTGTGTGGGAATGAAACCAAACAAAGGACAGGCAAAAAACCAGGGGAAAGATGATAAACATTCCCTTGAATCTGATCTTCAACCTCGTCAATCTATGTACTTATCGATACTATAGACTTGATAGTTTCGTGGAGGAATACAATAGCAAGCTTCACCAATCATGAGGGCCTGATTTAGGATGCCTTTTTACTAAACCACTTTCGTACACGCAGCACCAACTTAAGGCCTCGATGGTCCACCCTCTGGCTTTATAACTCGATTGGTGGGCTACTCTTCTGGGTGTGTCCATTGTTGATTTTCGGAAAAACTAAATTTTCATGAACTGGGTCAGAGAATTCGATTATCGTTGAGATCCGGCGAAAGTGGGCGAAAAGGCAGATGGGCGAAAAGTATCCTCAAGACGCCACCTTCCTGTATGTACATAGGAAGATGGCTTGAGCCTTGGATGTAGTACCTTGTAGTACAGGTCGCAATCGGAAACTCGCTCACTTCCAGCTCGCGACTATCAAGAGAGCATATGTAAGTAGGAGAAAACAATCACCTCCGCTAACGTCGTCAGATTGCATAACATCTGGCTGAGAAATGAATTGATCAAGCTCTGTCTGATTCAGAAAGATCAGCTTGACATATTCTGTTTTTAAGTTTTTTTTTTGCTTTCAAGTTTTTGGCTCCACTTCTTTGAACGGTCATTGGTTTTTATTTTCATTTCCACGTTTTATAAAGCTTGGATTGATAAATGTTGGCTTAAGCATTTTAAAGTGATTCAAATCTTCGAGTGTTTTGGTTTTATATCCTAAATACTTGGATGAAATCTAACACCATCTTCCTCCACCCTTTATGATGATATGATGAATAATCTAAAAAAGTGAGATGCATCTGTTCTTCATCGAGATAGATAAAAATTGTTCGTATTGATTGAAATCTATAAACTTGAATCGAAGCAAAGGGTGAATGTTTTTATGTTGTAATGTTATATTATCATAATTGATGATCTGGTATACCATCGAGGTCTGCCAGGCCACCGCGATCCGGAAGCTTAAGCCACCTCACGAGTGGCTTATATTTTTGAATTGCGCTGTACCTCTTGCACGGACTTGGTACAGGCTGTCTCGTACATGAGACTTTTCGCCCGGGGATCGTTTCGCCCATTTCCAACAATCCTCGAATGCTCCCAACTGGGTTGACGCTGGTTTTGTAGTATCAACAAGAATTTGACCCCCGCAAGTGTCCCTTTTCAATTTTTCTTCTTAGATGTGCAGCATACCTTCCAACAATTCAATTCCAAAAATGGACACAGCCCTGAAATCAGAAGTTACGAGTTTTTGGTTAAACTCACACTGCTTTGAAAAGTTTCTTACATGTCGGCTTCCTCCTGACCCATTTTTTCCTGGTTGTTACACTTCGATCAAATCCTTCGAATCCTTCATCATCTTGAAAGAATGTTAACAGCTTTCCTTAAGATCTCACTTGTACTATTTTCCTTATCATGGATTTATGATTCAAAGGTTATAGCCATAAATGATGGGAAAACTTACTCCTGTAGCTGTGCCGTGGATTTCAGTTACCCAGATGGTGGGCAAAGTGGTTTGGCACGTAAGTACATCGGGTCTATTGATTCTATTGGATTTATGACTTCAGCATAACTGCACCCAAATGGCTAACCCAAACCACTTTTTGTAATCGATCATATCAAAACAGACTGCAACCAGAACCTCGGTGAGGTCGTTAACGATATTAGATATACTTGCGAAATCGATTCATGCTATTATGACGGTAAGCATTTCACAAAACCCATCTTTGAAAGATGTGTCATTATCCATATTTCTCAATCACACTGATTGACAAACATCTATCTTATGTTGTATCTCATCTCAGGTCATCACTACGTTGACATGATCGATTGTGTTCACAACGGAGACAGTGATAGAAGGCCAAGTAATCAAAAATGTTCTCAATATCGATACATGGGTGATGTTAAAGGTTTCAGTCAGTACTCAAGTCTTCAGATCATTTCTGGTCTAATTTGAATCCTATCTTCATTTCAAGATTAATGGAGTTTGTTTTGCCTTTTTTTTCTATGAATATGGAATTTTCAATAGGTTGTACAAACCCTGGAAACGCACATTATACATGTCCTTTCAAACAAAACTCTGGTAGAATGCTGAGTTAGTTCGAATTTTTCTCTCAATCCGTTTCTGAATGGGAAAACTAAACAAATTTGATTTTCCAGGATGTTCCGCATGCACGAAGGGGTAGATTATCGAAGAAAGATATATCTTGGTCAATCAAGAATGAGTCGATTTGTATGACTTCTAAGCTCTTGTACACTCGAATCCTATCAAAGTAGAGATTTCCATGAAGTCGTGAAAACATGGTCTTGAAATAGCTAGTACAATCAAAGAAACGATAAAAATCATTCTTGTCTCCTTTGTTTGATTGGTTCAGCGCACACAGCCAATGCAATTTGCACCAAAGGAAACTTGTGGTTTAATTCTACGATTCAAAGAGAGGACGAGATCAATTCAAGATAGAAATGACTAATTGATCAAAATGTTGGATAGTTACGAGAGAGAAAACAGTCCACGTAGCCTCTAGCTCTGCAAAGGAAATTGGGGTACCAACCGGGGCAAACCTCGGTGGGATCCCCGTATTAGAATTTTGAGGGTTTGTGGTGTAATCCATCATTCCGAGACGACGGACAGCAAGAGATGAGAAAAGACCCTGAGACGAGCTTGCAGTTTTTTTCTTACGAAATGCGCCTCTGAGCGCATACACACATACATAGTTGAATTTTCCTTCTCAGACGTGCACTTTACCCTACTTGACCTCTCTTTACTCTTTAGATGTTCCAAAACGTCAGCGCCACCGGTGAATGCCGCAGCCCATAAGAGCTTCCGATGCGTGGGTTGGCAACCCCCCCACCTTCTACCTGGAATACAACTTCCATAAGAACTCAGGCCATCGTCCGCGCGACTCTTGCCCGATCTCACTTCCTGATCCTTTTCCCCTGGCCGAAAACCTCACTTGATTCATCCAAAATGCTCTACGCCTTCTTGAAGATCTCGACTCTACTCTTTTCCCTGTGGCTTCATGGCTCGAATGTGATGGTCGCAGGAGAACAAACCAAGATATTTTCGTGTACCAGAAGGTTTACACTTAGCTCAGCTACTCAAGCAGGTATGCAAAACCATCCAAAGATTCGTTGTCTTCTGACTATACAGCATATATAACCTCTAAAGCAGACCTTTTTTTGTGATGAATTGCTTGAAAAGTGTGCAAGATGGATTCCCCTGACGAGAAAGATTATACGTGCAGCTTGAATACTTGCTGGTACCAAGGTAAGTACCTCACAGAGAAATTCTGATCATCTGACATTTAATTTATACATCTCATTTTAGGTCATCAATGGATTCCGATGTCGAGCTGCGTGCTCACCCGATCACCCCAAGGATCTAGTAAACAACATTGTGCCCAGTATGAATTTCTCAGCTTTGAGAAAGGTTTTAGTCAGTCTTTCTAATCCTGAATCATCTATGACTGCTGAATTATCCTACTCGTGATTGATCCTTTTTTTACCTATCAATATGAAATGTTTAGGTTGTATCAATCCTGCAAAATATCATTACACATGTGATTATCTTGAGAATGCTGGGAAAGTCATGCGTTGGTCAAGATTCTCCTATCATGAAGTAAATACTGGCACTGATTTTGTTTGATTTCCTTCAGAATGTACTACATGCACGTAGTGATAGATTTCACCAAAAAGAAGAATCCTTGATAATCTAATGACAAAACGTTCAAGACTATGTCGATCGGTTTAGTTTCTCATTCAAATCATGATCTGGACTCGCGTGGATGTGGAAGCTTTTTGAGCGAGATCTTGCACGCACTAGAGATGATCAAAAAGAAACAAGACGGAGATATATCCTGACCTATCAACACTTTGGTTAATGATCCTAGCGATCACAGCCAATCAAATTCGTTTCAGAAGGAACTCTTGCAATTTGAACAAGGTCGAAAATGGGTGAAAGCCAAAACGATTTAGTCTTCAAGATAATCGACACTTCCTTGCTCGCTTCGAGGACCTCTTGTAATTTTTTTGCAATGCTAAACTCGAGAAGAACTTGTGCTACTATATACCTAATTGATTTGAAGTTGGATTCAACAGACTCGTGTTACTGATTTTGGATGACAATGACGATGTACATAATTCTTTCCTCAGTCATTTTTTACATTGGGATCAAGGTTTGTTTAGTTTCATCTGGGAGTCAGTGAGGCTATTGAAGAGAGGTTTTCAATCCTAAGGGTGAGATCACTAGCACGGGTATTCCTGAAATCAATCATACATTCCTGAGAGTCAGTTTCTAGCTTCTCAATGCCATTAGATACTTTTGAAGATCATGATCATTGGATGGATTCCATGTGGCTCTTTTCCTGATTCATAGCTCATGTAAAATTGGTCACAAGTTTTAGATTTCTTCATCCATTGTATCATCGACAACTTTCATTCTTTGAAAATAGCTTTCATTACTGCCACACAGCAAAAAAGACATCTATGGTTCTTTGATTGTTTACATCTGCTAATTTGCTTGAAGAGTGGTCATCACAAGCAGTTAGATTCAGGTCATCTCAGAGCAAATCTTGACATGCAACCATCTGACAATTGTAGCATTGGGTTTATAGGTTGGAACAAGTCAAATGAGGAAGTGTTGAATCTGATGGTGGCAAATGTCGGTTGGTATACTGTTATAAATGATAATTTAGCATGAAGGAATTCCATTGATCGGAGGCTAAGATTTTTCAAAAAAGTCAAAATGAAACTATGTATTCTCGAAACTGCTGTAGATAGCGCGAAATGAATGCAGAAATATGGGCGAGTCCTTCTTCTTGCGCAAGCATTCGATTGTATCATGAAAGTTGAATATGTAGAGTTTGCGACTACAGATAAAAGCTCAACTGGAGTCAACTTAGGGAGTCAAATCATCTTCGACTCGCACTCTACAGTGAGATTCTGTTATAGGCATCGTGATGATTGGCCAAATGCCATGTTGATGGAACAGATGCTCCTTATCGAATGAAACCAAAAATGGTTGGATGGTGTTCCATTCATGTACAAAATACGATTCAAGATCTGCAAAGAATGATACCTCCCCAATTTGGACGTTGTCACATCAGAATAGCCTTGGAAGTTCATGAAGTATGTTGCTGATTAGACGTATAATTCCACGCCCCAAAAGCTCAAGATGGAGTGTTGTGCGTACATATTCAGAGCTTATCGGTGTCAAGGTTATATCTTGGGTGATTAATGACATTTTTCGAGAGTGCCGAATGCGTGCTCATTAAAAGCCTCAGGATTCGGGACTTGTCACTTCACGAGCGAGTCAGCGATATACAACCTCGTATTTGAGTCACCTTGTGACAATCCGCGATCATAACTCAAAGGTCAAGAGGTAGTAGAAGAACAAGCATTCGGACAAGGGTTCATGGGGTGAACACGAGAGGTTTCGAGAGAGGTCAATGTTTGAGCCATGGATGGTTCTGGAACGATTGATGGTGATGGAATTGAATTTGGAATGAGTATCTTTCTGGAATGTTCTACGAAGGGTTTCATTGATCGACCTGTGGTATATTTTGTAAATTTTTCAATCCTCACCAAAACAGAAAGCATCGATAGTTCTGGTAAGTTCCATTAGAAATCCAGTTGACCATATAACACTTTCCCTCTTCCCTTACCTTGTCCCACTTCCTTCAGCGGAATAGCTTTTTGTTTTATCATCATCACCATCAAAAACCAATTAAACGATCATCTCATCTCATCTTAATTCAATCTATCATCAACTATATCAATCATGTCTGGACAAACCGAGACCTTTGGCTTCCAAGCCGAGATCACTCAAGTTAGTTTCTTTAGAGTATCTTAGTTCAAGTGATGGCAAAAATGCTCAATCTTTGGTTTCACTCTTTTTCCAGTTGCTCGATCTCATCATCAACACCTTTTACTCCAACAAAGAAATCTTCTTGAGAGAATTGATTTCCAACTCTTCTGATGCCCTCGACAAAATCCGATATGCCTCTCTTACCGATCCTACTCAACTTGACTCTCAAAAAGATTTCTTCATCAGAATCACTCCTAACAGTTAGCGCAATTCTCCTTATGTCCATCTCCCTTCTATCATCTCGCACGCGCTAATCTTCCCAATTTTTGCTTTGAAACAGAGGAAAACAAGACTTTGACTATCGAGGATTCTGGGTGAGTTTTTGTGTAATGTTACGCTTTTGTTTTTGTATTTACTGATCTTGTCCCTTCCCTCATTGTTCAGTATTGGTATGACCAAGGCCGACTTGGTCAACAACCTTGGTACCATCGCCAAGTCCGGAACCAAGGCTTTCATGGAGGCTCTCTCCAGTGGAGCTGACATCAGTATGATTGGTCAATTTGGTGTCGGTTTCTACTCCGCCTACCTCGTTGCCGATCGTGTCACCGTCATCACCAAGCACAATGACGATGAGCAATACATCTGTTGAGTTTCATTTCCCTTCCCCTTTCGAAGTCTCTTGCCTCTATAGCATTTTTTCTTACCATCTTGTGTTTCTTGATTAAACAGGGGAATCCGCTGCCGGAGGAACTTTCACCATCACTCCTGACCCAGCTGGTGCAACCCTCGGTCGTGGAACTCGAATGATCCTCCACCTCAAGGAAGACCAAATGGAATACATTGAGGAGAAGCGAATCAAGGACATTGTCAAGAAACACTCCGAATTCATCTCCTACCCCATTCAACTTGTTGTCACCACCGAGGAAGAGAAGGAGGTTGAGGACGAAGACGTAGAGGAAGTAGCTGAGGGTTCAGAATCTAAGGAGGCCAAGGTTGAAGAACTTGACGAGGATGCTGACAAGAAGAAGAAAATGAAGAAGGTCAAGGAAATGGTAAGTATTTATCTACGTGTGCATATCTCTTCCCACTTGAAGCCTTTGCTGAGCCGAATCTCTATCGCACAGGTCACCAAGGAGGAAGAACTCAACAAGACCAAACCCATCTGGACCCGAAACCCTCAAGACATCAACCAAGAGGAATATGCCTCATTCTACAAGTCACTCACCAACGACTGGGAAGATCACTTGTCTGTTAAACACTTCTCTGTTGAAGGTCAACTCGAATTCAAGGCCATTCTCTACGTTCCCAAGAGAGCTCCCTTTGACTTGTTCGAGAGCAAGAAGAAGAGGAACAACATCAAGTTGTATGTTCGACGAGTCTTCATCATGGTTAGTCGCCTCTTTCTCTCACTCTCATCTATGCAGGTGTTGACATCCTTCAAATTCGCAGGATGACTGTGAAGACTTGATTCCAGAATACCTCAACTTTGTCAAAGGTATCGTCGACTCTGAAGATTTACCTTTGAACATTTCTCGTGAAACCCTTCAACAAAACAAGATCCTCAAGGTCATCCGAAAGAACTTGGTCAAGAAGGCTATGGACATGTTCACTGAGATCGCCGAGGACAAAGACAACTTTGCTAAATTCTACGAAGCCTTTGGCAAGAACTTGAAATTGGGTATCCACGAAGATCAACAGAACCGATCCAAATTGGCCGAGTTCTTGAGATTCCACTCAACCAAGAGCGGGGATGAACTCACCAGCTTCAAAGGTTTGTCTTTCTCTTTCAGTTCGCCGCTATTCTTGCACGCCTCTGACCTTTGTTCTCATCTTTCTAGACTACATCACTCGCATGCCCGAAATCCAGAAGAACATCTACTACTTGACCGGTGAATCTCTTGCCGCCACCCGTGACTCACCTTTCCTTGAAGTCTTCAAGAAGAAGTCATTCGAGGTCTTACTCATGGTTGACCCCATTGACGAATACGGTTTGTTCTTCTCTATCTGGCCTTTTTCTGCAGAACGTCTTGCTAATTTTCTATCGGTTTGATTAGCTGTCACCCAGTTGAAAGAATTCGAGGGCAAGAAACTCGTCTGTGTGTCGAAGGAAGGTCTCGAGCTTGAAGAAACCGACGAAGAGAAGGCCGCTCGTGAGGAGGAGGTCAAAGCCTTTGAAAACCTTTGCAAGGTTATGAAGGACAACCTCGGTGACAAGGTTGAGAAAGTTCAAGTTTCTAACCGTATCAACCAATCTCCTTGTGTTCTTGTCACTGGTCAATTCGGTTGGAGTTCCAACATGGAGCGTATCATGAAGGCTCAAGCTCTCCGAGACTCTAGTATGTCAAGCTACATGCAGTCCAAGAAGACTTTGGAAATCAACCCTCACAATGCTATCATCAAGGAGTTGAAGAACAAGGTCCAGGAAGACGCTTCTGACAAGGTTTGTTTAATTCTTCATCGCCTCGCTCAACTCCCCTTTGGCTGATGATTTTGTTCTTGTCCCTAGACTGCTCGTGACTTGAGTGTACTTCTCTTCGAGACTGCTCTCCTGACCTCTGGATTCACCCTCGATGCCCCACAACACTTTGCTGAACGTATCCACCGAATGATCTCACTCGGACTCTCAATTGACGTCTCAGAAGAAGTTGAGGCTACTGCTTCAGGTTCAGGATCGAAAGAAGATGACATGCCCGCCCTCGAGCCTACCCCTGCATCCGCCATGGAAGAGTGAGTTTTCATCGACTTTGACTTGAAATTCGATTTGGAGTTTATCGCTGATGTCTGGATCTTCACTTTCCATCATAGGGTTGACTAAACAAATCGCATAGAACACAAAATGGATATTAAAATTCAGATACCTCTCATTCCTTTTATTCTTTTTTCATGACTCACCCAAAATAATAAACTCTTTATAATGTGACTTTTAACGATCGAAAAAATAACACAGCCACACAGCTGATGTCGCTCTTAACGTTTTTGCTTTGTCTTTGTTTTGTACCATTGTTCTTTCTTTTTCCTGTTGTTGCAAATTCAAATTTATGTTGATGCAAATGGTAACCGATGAATCATGAAAGTGAAAGTTTGGTGTGCCACAGCGAGAGCCGCATTACCTATTGATACTTCAATTGTAATCATGGTAAACCCTGAAGTTGTTGCTACAGAAAGTGGAGTTTAACCCATTAACCGTTTTCCGGTTGCTTACTATCGTTCACTTGAGAGCAACTTTAATCCAATCTCAACACCTTGCAACTTCAACACCGTCTGTACTAGCTCCCCAAACAACTCCCGAAATCATGCAGATCACTCAAAACTCTCAAGTCGAAGTTCCAATTCTGAATCCTAGACAATCCCATTACCATCCCAGATCCTCTTGTCTTCAAAACATGCTTTTTTGGTGCCATAACCTGAATGATACTTCCTTTGAACACCTGCATAAGCTAGAAAAAACTATGAAAAGCCAAAGGACTGAAAATCATCAACATTTGCTACTCCTAAGCTGTTTTTCCTTTACTATATTTATATCCGAAATTCTCCCTTTCACTCTTGCTTCAAAAACAGATGAATCAGTCATTAAAATCCTTACAGAAATGAGTTAATCCTTCTGTGGTGTCTATATTGTCTTATGTCTCTTCTAGATCAGTCTTTGTTAAAATATGGGTGTGAGCTATTATATTTGTCAGGGGTGCATTCACTTAGATCTCTACCTTTCCTTTTCCGCGTCCTTTTTGTGTACATCTTTTGATTGAAGCCTTTTTCTTTCATATTGTCAGTTATCTAATTTTTCGGCTCCCTTGGATTCTCTTTGTTTCTTTTGATCAGTTTTAGTCCTTCATATGATCACAGGGGTTCCGCCTTACATGGTTCATGAGCTAGGCTTGGGAGCACCATAGGGGCTACAAAGAGCTTGTAAGATAATATATAATAAACCAAAAGAAGCTCTCTGACGACTGATCTTTATGAAACAAACAACAAAGACCTTGGTATATGAGTACTGGTAAGACAGACCTAGAAAAACACTTGATTGTAATTCTCAACAATGGTAATTACAATGGTATTCTGGTCTCTGAATTGAAGTATTGCTCTAGAAAACTATTTGAAACATATAACCCGAATCAAATTCTCCTTTGATAAGGGGAAGACTTAAGTGATGCTGTACTGCTTATAGTGATCCCAAAAAAAGATTGAAGACACTTTGACTATGTGAGAGATGTAGAGGAACAAAAAATCATTGTTTCTTTCGATACTACAAGCAAACTTTGCTCCTGGTAACTGTGTTCCAAATCTCCCATCGAATTTCCAAAATGTTAACATCTTGGTATCCTTTCAATCGGCTGCTCCATGATATGTTGAATTCTAAAATCTGCAATTCATTTTTGTCGTCTATTTCAAATTGACAAGTTTTTCCCTCACACGAGATATGATAGATATTTTCACCTTAATTACAAAAATGTCTGTATGCAACATGATAAAATAAACTGATTGAATTTGCACCTCAAGGATCAAACCTTGATAGACTTGACAAATTGAGCTACATTGTCTCCAAGGACTGCTTGAACTGTCGATGAGGGGTACAGGGAATCCTGTAATGGTGATTCGAGTAAAAGAATATGAGTACATTGGTATTAATGTGTTTTTTAAGAAGATGTACTGACCACGTAAAAGTACTGATTTGGATTGCCAGCAAGGTCGACCGCGTCCGTTACGTTCACAAGTCCATACTATTTCAAGATTACATTAGACAAATCCGTAGTGCTACTGACTTGTAAAACCGTAGACCAACTTACTTTAGCGGGAGCTTCAAGGATTCGGTTCCAAGTTGGTGCCGTGTCGAAGACTTTTATGAAATCAACGTTAGTGGAATTATCGGCCTTGAAGGAGTCTGCGATGGCATTCAATCCCTTGAATTTCAATAGACCATCAGATAAGCTCATGGTGATTTGATTTATGAAAACTTTCATGCCGAAAAAAATTGCACGACTTACTTGATTGTATCGTCTAACTAAACGTTGGATGATATCGCGATAGAGAGAAGCCGAGAGTTTGTTCTTGTCGGACCATGCTTTGATCTGAGTCACAACCCGTGGCGAGCCCTCGAGGGGTGGTATTGTCATTAAGATGATAGCAGACGAGTACCTTGATAGCCCAAGAGTTGAGGAGGTCATCTTGTAAGGTTCTATGTAGTAGAATATCATCAAGGTAGAGAGTAAAGTGACTCACATTTGAATGGCTGCATTTTTCGTCATTTGTTCAATTTGAGATCGAACAGCAGCGACTTGTTGATCGATCAATTTATTGCCTTGATCAGAAGGAGAATCTCCTCCAGTACTTGGAAGATCTTGATCACCACTTGGTCTAAAACCGGCAGCAGTTGCCCATATGTCGAGAATGGCTTCAACTCCAACCCAATGAAAGTATAATAAGCTACCCGGACCAACTGCGATCTTTTTTCCAGTGAGATCTTGAGTGTACTTTGCAATCTGAGTTCGGGTGTCTCTGATGCGACTACTGGCAGAATTACCGACATTATTATCCGCATAGGCTCCCGCTCTATGTATCGAAAAGGTCATTTAGGTGTCAGTAAACGGTTTTCTTTCTTGTATGGATTTTCTGATTCTTCAAAGACTTTCAAAATCTTAACTCAACTGTGCGTAATTGAATAGAGGAGTAAGCGCATTGGAGTAAAGCACGTCCACAAGTCGTTCTGTCCAAGCTTTTGGGGAACGGTCAACAACCCTTCCACCCTCTTGAAAATAGAAAATCCACAATCCGGTCAAAAAAAATTATAGATGATTAAAAAAGAGTGAAAAACTTTCAAAAAGAAAAAAGACACCAACGTGGGGGTTTTCTTCTACGCGAATCTCCAAAGCGGTTAGTTCCATCATCTGAGAATTTAAACACCTTGAAGTCAATCAACAAATTTTCAACATGGCTTGAAAAACAACAAAAGCCTTACCTGAATACTTGTCACCAAAGACGATGACAGATGAATAGGTATTCACTGCTCCACCATGAATGACGAAACTATCAAAATCAGATGATCAGTTTTATGTTTGAGAACTTCATTATGTATGTAGGAAAATGTTCAATTAACCTGTTCAGACTCAAGGCAGCAAGAACCAGATATAAAATGTTGATTGAATGTGCGTTCTTCATGATGATGCAGATGAGAATGGGTCGTCAGATTTGAGTGTCAAGCCGTACTGAAATTGATTGTACAGAAAAATAGAGATGGGAGGAAGCTGTTAAAGAACGAGTCTTTATATTTTACTTTTAGCAAGGCTGATGTTTGTTCAAAAACACAGCCTCTTGATTGGTTTGTACAAAAGGCTTCAACGGGTAAATCTTAAACGCCTCCGAGTGTAGGGACACTTTTTGCGTCATCACACCACACCGTTTCTCGTTCTTCATATTTGGAAGCCGGCTACAGCTCCGATAGAGTGGTTGATATCCTTTCCCCATGTGACCGTCTGTGGCCTTTCACTGTACGGTCCACATTTCCGAAGGCGACTGAAGAAGAATTGTGTGCTTGGTATTCTTGTTGGGGAAATGGCTGCTCAGCCACTTGAAAGGTCATATATTTCATCATATGCACTGATACATAGTGGAAGGAATTCGAAGGAAAAAAGTGTACAACTTCAAGGAAGGTAGAGATTTGAGTAAAATCTCCTTCTATAATAAGGGCATCATAATCCAAACTAAGTTTATGTATACAGCTGTTTCAAGAAAAAATATTGTCCTCCTTGTTTTTTTATTTTATTTTATTTTGAAGTTGCACTAAAAACACTCACGTAGAATCTACACGAGAGCTGTGATCACCTTTTTCAAGGGTGCAAAGATCACAGATGATCACAATTGTTGCTTCCTTTGTATCCACAATGCACAACCTCAGGCTCTGGTGCTTTTTCAAGGCTTCATAATGATGGTGAGGTACAATCTTTAAAGTTTAGCACATTATTGACTACAGCTGCTCATATGTAGAGTCTACAACAAATAATCTTTAGTGCACCTTTAAAATAAGGATAAAAATAAAATAACAAGGACAACGACATTTTTTCTTGAAACAGCTGTATATGTTGGCAACACTCATTGGCAGAAAAGATAATGGAAAATATTAAATCCAGCCCGGTGCTTGAAACTCTGACCGCCCAGATTCACTCTGTGGAACAACTAAATCAGTTACCACATGAATTCACTATGGAGTGATTTACCAAGTACTCTCCACCACCTCTCCAGACTTGTATCCGCATTGCTTGTGACCGTGTCCAACACAGGGAACAACTGTACAACCATTACTTTGCACCTAATGACACATAAAAATCAAAGTTTTAATATTGATTTCAAATGATCAAATAAAGTGTGAGATGTTGAAGTGGTGATGAATTGATGAAGTGTGGGATTTGCAGAGTCAAAAAAACACGCAACAGTTGTGATTTGATGTGTCAAATCTTAAGATAAAACATGAATAAAGCTTGTGTAAAGTTAGACAAGCTTGATTCATGATTTGACGCAGGCATAGGGACCGCCCCTCTAAGACAGGTCCATAGTGGACCTGCGTAAGATTTACCGGTAAACTTACAATGAAACCGCTGTTTACCGCACCCATAGTGAGTGCTCCAACCATCTAGCCAATACCACTAAAGATTTATCAATTCCATTTTCATTTATAAGATTCAGAATGTCTGGTTGATTGTGTGGTCTAAAACATGCGGGAGCTCCATGTAAGAGGACTGGGTATCAATTGGGAAGTGTTGTTAGATTGTTGTCTATTAAATGAATCCATTGGTGTCTATATTGTAGAAGAAATTTAGCTTTGAATTGTGATCCTGTATAGAATACGATGCCAATTGAGCCTAGTCTTGCTGCTCCATCAACCCAAACTGGTTTTTCATCTCAAGTCATTTTTATAGCTTGCAATACAGTATTTGTCTTGTCCCTGATTTCACACTGAGGTAAGTCTGCCAACAGAAAGACACCTGGTCAAGTACAGATCACAAATCTGCCTGATTTAAATTCATTCATTGCTTGCTTTGATGGAAGAGTAATTGTGTTGTCAGTTGAGTTTTGCATTTCCTTCTGTCCTTGATTAATAACATCCACCCATTGTTGTGCAGGTTGATTTTGAGTGGATGGAATGATAATCAGTGGATGAGTTGTCATTGGAGTCCGCTTTGAGCTCAAACTTTTGATTGTTTGTACTAAAGTCTATGATTCAATTCTGATTTTTGATTCTTTCTTGAAGTATAGTTATTGAGCCTTGTTCTGAGTTTGATAATTCTATTAAAGTTTTACATTTGCATATTTGTCATGGAGATAATTTGCCTTTGTGCTTGGTAATCAAAAAATCAATAAAATTGTGTAAACCTTGTTGATAATTTGGAACCAGTGACTTATGAATGGAAGCCTCACTGATGTTCAATTCTGTTGGGGGAGGAGGAGGGGGATTTGTAAAGGGGATTTGTCTGATGATTTGACAGCAACACAATGGAAAAACTCAGATGATGTCATGGATGAGGTGTTCCGCAGTGACTGTACAATTTCTGACTGTTGTGGCTCAAAGTGTTAAGGTCTACTGTCTGGGTTCTGGCACGGGAGTGAGGTTCTGATCTGGGTCTGGTTCTTGTATCCTTAGTATTGTGATTGTCGGATAAGGGAAAAGCTAGTACAGTGTTGTGTGGTACAAGATATGGGTTCAACTCGTGACATGTGTACTGATGTTTCACAAGTCTTTCCCCCAGTGTACGCTCATAACATTATCCCCCCTTTAATGCCCAGACTCCCTCTTGCGAGTCCTGCATTCCTCCCTGGGCAGCGTTAAAAAACCCCTTAGGGAAAAAGCTATGCCCTCATTTCATTCTCCTTCGTGCTCTGAGTTTTCGTGCCGTGTCCGGGAATCTGCTTTTGAACTCTTTCAGTAGGTCTTTACAATGTGTGAGATTACCTTCTGGTTCCCATGAATTGTGATTGGAGTTGAAACCTGTCCAGTTCACAAGGTATTCCACTTGGTTTCGACGTTTTCTGGAGTCCAGTATCGCCACCACTTCCCACTCTTCCTCGCCTTCTACTTCTATTGGCGGTCTTTCAGGCTGTTTTCGGAGTTCAATTGCGTCGGGGTTGTGCTTTCGGAGTACTGAAACATGGAAAACTTTATGAACTCCTTTCATAGTCAGTGGTAAATTTAATTCGTAAGTAGAGTTAGAGATTTTCTTCGTAATGTTGAAAGGGCCCAGCCATCTATGACTCATTTTAGGACTGGGTCGTGTTGTCGAGATGTTCTTTGAGTCCAACCATACTTCATCGCCTACGTCCCATTTCGGTGTGTGCCTGACTTTCTTGTCGAATTGGTTCTTCATTGTGTCCTGTGCTAGTTCTAAACATACTGTTAGTTCCCTCTGTACTTCTTCTAGTACCTTGAGTCTTTCCTCCACGATAGGGATGCATTGGTCGCTGGATGGTACGGTGTTGAAGGTGGGGTTGTAACCATAATTGGCTTTGAATGGTGATACGCCTATGGATTCGTGGTCTCGGTTGTTGTAAGCAAATTCTGCTGTTGGCAGTAGTCGTTCCCAATCGTCTTGGCGGTACGTGACGAAGTGCCTAAGGTAGTTTTCAATCACTTTGTTAACGATCTCAGATTGCCCATCGGTACGGGGATGGTAAGAAGTGGAAGGGTGTAATCTTATCCCAAGTCTCTTGTCTAATTCTCGAGTTATCCTTGAAATAAAGATGCTTCCGCGATCCGAGATGATAGTTTTCGGAGTGCCATGCAGCTTCCATACGTTCTTCACCATCAAATCGGCTAGGTCTTCGGCCGTCATGCTCTCCCTACACGGTATAAAATGACTCATCTTCGTCAGTCTGTCAACGACGGTTAGAATGCTGTCAAACCCATTTGATATCGGCAATTTTGTGATCAGGTCGTAAGTAATGTCGGTCCAAGGTCCTGCCGGTACTGGAAGTGGCTCTAAGGTTCCAAAGGGCTTCTGTGTTGTAGATTTCACACGTAAGCAGGAGTCACAACCGTCTACATACTTATTGATGTAGGATTTTAGTGACGGCCAGGTGAAACTGCGTTTCACTAGCGATAATGTCTTGCTCCTGCCGGGGTGTCCTGCTATTAACGTGTCGTGCCTGCTCCTTGCTATTTGATACTTGATGTGTTCAACGTGTGGTACTTCGATTTTGCCGTGTTTGTATAAGATCCCGTCTTTAATGTCATAAATCTTTGTGGCAGTCTTTGTTCTAGATGACATCGGGTTCTGACATGCTTCCATCAAGTCTCTGATTCGGTCGTCTGTTGCACTGCTTTCGCGTATAAGGTTGATAATCTGGTCGTCAGTCATTGAGTCTTGTGGCGCTGCGTCACATTCATCGATCCCTAATACGTCAATGTCAAACCAGTGTTCCGCGCTATTGAGTTCCACCGTCTCGTCGGCAAAAAAGGACTCGAAGCTGGAGAGTTCAACTGGGAACGTGTCCGGACCAATGTTCTCTGGTCGTAACAGTTGACCAAAAGATAGGTTGGTGTCGTCAGAGGGCTTAAGATCGGGTCGTCGTGACAATGCATCCG